ATAAACTTTGTATAAAAATAATTCATTCAATATAAAAACCCATGAAACCATTTCTTGATGCTCATACAAACGCATGTACCGGTATCTCAGCCCTAACAGAGACCGTTGTAGTCTAAGGCGCTCCCTTCCCGTCATTGCATATGGTTAGCGGCAGGAGTGCATCAAGCTCTAGGGCCTTAAATGAGTTATTCAAGAAAGAGTAAAACTACTGACTTATCGAGTTTCCTTTTATAAATAGTTCTTCACGGTTTTTTTGGTAACCATATTTAAATTTTTTTTCCTCAAATGCAGCTTCTTTTACGCGTGGTAAAGTGGACAACCATAATTTTGCGTTTTAAAATTTTAGAATGTGTTTTCTCAATAATGAATACTTCAGAAGAGTTTGTAATGACCAAGACGACCCTTGAAAGATGAAAAGGAGAATAAATTTCTGTTGAAAAGTACAGGGAATAATTTGGAGAGAGGTCTTTTTTCATCCATGTAGGTAGCATATGCTTGCAGTGTGACTTGATCCATTTAGCACATTATCCAACCCCACATGAGCCCCACAGGCACCCCTCTTACTGCCTGACCTGTGTACTGTGCCAACCAAAGCAGCTTTGGACTCTGGTATGGGTGTGTGGAGGGAGTTTATCTTCCCTCAGCTTTGAGTAGTTAAGACAGACAGTCCTAAGGGAATAGAACCATATGTGTGATATTTGGAAAGAGGGCATTGGTTTCATTGGAAAAGGATGAGAAGAGGGAGAAAAATGTCATGCTTCAGGTCATAAAACCTTATGCAAGGCCCAGGATCACCCACTGCTTTGGGAATTTCATCCAAGGCCTTTCACTACTTGAGACTAGGTTTAAAAATAAAGACTATCTGTTGCTATCAGTATCTCAGGTTAATGTGCGGAAACTAAAGTCCTTTAACCAGACCTGCAGCACTGCGGTGGTCCTGGACGTCTGGATTCACTGCGGCGAACTCATCAGACTGTGAAACCATGGGCCAATTGGAACATCTGTCCATTTGTCTTCCCTGTTGTTCTGGGTCCCAGACCACAGGAAAAGGTGTCTCACTGGACATGCTCAGTGTTCAAACTCTAATTATATACAGAGTGGGGCAAAATGTAATTTTCTCTCTGTTCTATACTGCCTAATGTCTATGTTCTATGAGCAGTATTAAAAATAATGGTCAATTTTACCAAAACTTCCATACATGTAATAATTTCTTTCTGTTTCTGAATCTGTAAACCACTTAAAAATCAATGGAAAAAGGTGTTTTTTTTCTCAATTTATCTTTGTATAAAACTAAGTCTTTCATTAGTGGTTTAGTGGTTAAGATTCGGTGCTCTCACTGCTGCGGCTCAGGTTTGTTTCCCAGTCAGGGAACTACACCGCCCATCTGTGGTTGTCATCCTGGGGTGGCTGTATGTGGCTGTGATGCTGAAAGCTCTGCCAGCAGGATGGCAAATACCAGCAGGGTCCCCCATGGTGGACAGGTTTCAGCAGAGCTTCCAGACTAGACAGACTAGGAAGAAGGACCTCTTCTGAAAGAATTGGCCACAAAAACCCTATGACTAGCAGTGGGGCATTGTCTGATAGAGCGCTGGAAGGTGAGAGGATGGTGCAAAAAGACTGGGCAGGGTGCCGTTCCACGGCCCACAGGGTCACTATGAGTCAGAATCCACTCGCCGGCACTAACAACAGCAAAAGGCTTTCATACCACACTAATTATTCAGTGAGAGGATCATCAGTTGAGTATGTGAGATCCTAGGACATCTCAACAAGACTTACTATGTGAAACAGCTTTATGGATTTCTAAGGGGCAAATGATCATGAAGTGTGAAAAAATATCTATCAGCTGAGGTCTGAGATCTTCGTCCTTGTTTAGGACTACTCATTTCACATGGCCACGACTGGGGTAGAGATGGTCTGGAGGACCTTATTTAACGTAACAGCAACATCGGCAGGATCCTCTCTGGATCTAAGCATGAAACTGGCGATGTTTAGCACCCCACAGGCATATTTCTGAGGACGAAAGTATTTCTTCTAATGATACTGATAATCTTCAAATTCTGACTTCTTGCCATTCAACATCTGTCTGTGCAGGTTTCCTAGTTTGTTGCCCAACATGCTTTCAGTTTTTTTTTGCCATACCAAAAGCTGAAATAAACAATAAACTTTAAAGTCTTTAAAGACAAAGATAACATCTGTGTAATTCTCACTTAATTTTCATCCAGCATTATATTTCTGCTTAATAAATGTTTTTTGATTTCATGTCAGTTGTTTTTGTTTTATGAATGGCAATGTAAGGTATAGGTTAAAAACATAATCACTACCATTAAAAAGATCTGGATTTAAATCTGAATTCTGGTTCTATCTTCCACTAACTCTGTGACTTAGTAGTAAACGTCTCATACGATTATTTTAATAATTAATTGAGTTAAAGTATGGAAAGCATTAGCACAGTAGCTGGTTTATACAGAGAGAGAATGCTCAGTACATGAGGGAAAAAAATAGTGCACATGCCAGCGGGAATGAAGGAAGACAGTGATTCCAGAGTGATGTACGGTGACATCTGGCAACCATTCGAAAGTGAGCATTTCAGCATCTTTTACAGAGAAGAGTTAAGACAGACATACAGATATTATGTTTTCAAAAGTGCTGTTTTGTCATCAAAACACTGGTTGTGGGTATTGCCATTCTAATCAGTGGTTTCATTCTAAGCTACATTTCTTAGATTTGCTGTGTAAAGATTGGCTTATTTTTCACTCTTCTCAAGCATATCCTGCTCTACACCAGGGCTCAATCCTCTATTTATCTGGAACATTGAGTGGAGTGCCTACCACAGAGTAAATGCCCAAGGCAAGTTTGTTGTATTGAAAAATCTTCAAGTCACAATAGCAGCATAAAATACAAACAGACCACATACTTTAAAAATGCACAAAGATGCCTATTAGGTATAAATGTGTGTGTGTGTGTAAAACTAAGACAACTCAAGGTAAAACAACCACACCCTTGAAACAACAGTTACATCTCACAAGTGTTAGTGTGAAGTCTTCTTTCAGATGTAGGTGTAATTCAGAAGATTAACTTTCTCTACACAGGTCTAATATTCACAGAAGATATCTGGTGGACTTATTTCTGGCTAGAAACAAGCCATTGGAGACCTTCCCACTGTAGCTTGTTAAGAGAATCATTAACAGAGTCAGTCTACCTTGCCAGGCTCATGAGGGCTTTGACACATTTTTGTCTATATTACAGAGTGAGGACAAACAGATACCATGAATTTTGAAACAATCACTTTCAAATTTGACTCTGAGAGTTTTCTTTCCTCTCCCTAATCCACAACATGGTGGACTATATTACACTTCATATGATTCACTATACAGAAATCTGAGATGTTTCTTGAGTGAAATTAGACAGTTAGGTCACACATCTTGTTTTCCATTATCTTCTGAGTCTGAGTGGAACAAGTCTGAAATTGAGGCATGTAAGATACAAAAGTCTTCTGACCAGAAGTTCCTAAGTTGAAGTTATTTTCTACAAGGTGTGAGCAACTGTCCTGGAGGATTCTGATGTCGGTGAATAAACAGGGGGCTGGGAATGGGCACGACACTCTTGACTCATCAGTCAAAAACACGACACTCTCTCTTTTTTTGATTGAGGTGACCCCTAAATAATAGATAGATCTTTCATCATTATTTTCTTCAGGGAAATTTTCCTCAAGTTTCAAAAATTCATCCAATCCTTCTGAGAAAGGAAGAGGTGGTGAAATTATATTGGGATGCTGATCTGATAACATAAAAAATGCCTGGGTTTCTATCTCCCATGAACTATTAGAGAAAGAATCCTTTGATAGAGAATTCTTGCTAGAGAAGCATTTGCTGACTGAGCTATTTACAAGCCCTTGCTCTGCATCACCTTCACTTGATTTAGAGTTGCCAACCAGGGTAGCGTATTTAACAGAGGGCTGTCTCCTGTTCTCATCCTCACAGCTTATCTCTGTGCTTTCAGCCTCAGAGAAGTTAGTGCTAGTGCGTCGGTCACTACAACAAACAGAACCCTTTTCAAGATCTCGAGTTGTCAAAAGTAGAGAGACCATAGTTGGTGGAACCATCTTGTCTTTATTTTTCCATGACGTATCAATACTGATATCTTCTGAAATGGTTTCAGGTTCCAAAAGAAGAGGACCAAAAGTCACTGATTCTGTATGCTTGATAAAAAGATGCTCAAACGTTTCTGGCTAAAAGAAAAGACACATTTTAATGCTCAATTGTATTATTATTATTATTTTTTGCTTCACTATGACATGCTTCCAGAAATGGAAATGTGAAAGGTTACTACTAAAGGGCATAAGTCAACCGCAAATTAACTAGTTTTAGACTGCGACAGATATATCAAAACCCATAAGGGAGAGGCAGTATGAGAGAATGCTGAAAAGTGGGACGAGATGGATCTAGGTTTGAGGGGTTCTACTTCTAGGACCATGGACAAGTACATTAACCTCTCTGTCCTTCCATTTCTTCATCTGTAAAAATACGTTCAGTACTTACTTCATGGCACTGTGGCAAGGAATAAATGGTCTGAAAGTGCTTAGCTCTCCATGAAGATTGGTTATTGTGTTTGGAAAGTGCTATCTTCTGAAAATTCCTAATATCGTATAGCAAATTAGATTTATATAAACCAAAAATTTAAACACTAAACTTAAAAAGTAAATTGAAATAAAATGAGCAAAACAGCTTGCCCAAAGATAGTTAAATAACTACTCCATGATATTAGATACGATAGGAAGGTAAAATATTTGTGACTGACTGTTAAGAACTTATCTGCCTTACACCATACAGAAAATCTGTTTGAGACCATCTGAAAATAAGAACTCAGAATACCTATTTGTTGAAAACCATGAAGGTGAAAAAGATGATCACAGACTTTTAAATTCCTATTCCTTACAAATAACGTTATACAAAAATATACACTATGGGACATGTGGAATGAAGACAAAGACACAAAACAAATGCACATCATATTTTTTATAAGAATGGTGGTTACATCACAACAAAAAATCCTGCCAAGCAGCCACACATCAAGAATCCGTGTGCAAAAGGCTCAACTCTTACAATGTAAACATATTGAAAAATAAATGCAAAATAAAGAATACTATGGATACATCACATTCAAAAATTAACATAACTAAATGAAGTGCTGCAGACAACATGTGCAATTTTGTACATCATACATATAATGGAACTTTTGAGCTTTATAAATTTTAAACTAAAAGAATGAATTCAGGCTTATTGCCTGAAATAACGATATACCCAACAATTCTTCATAATGGCAAATATATTCCATATAAAAACATACTTCATTTAGCATAGCTTTGAGCTCTTAAGTGAAATATACTGGTGATTATAACCATAAAAGAATAAATATACCAAACACTAAATACAGTAATAATGGAATGGACTTATACAGACATTAAAATACTGCACAGTGACAAATATCGTCTTCACATAACCATTTCTGCTACTCTATGAACATCATACATGAGGAGAAAACTGTTTCTGTGCCTATTTTCTTTCTGATAGATATGGATAATTAGGTTTATGATGTGGTTCCTCATTTTGTTTTTTTCTTAGAGTCACTACTATATATATACTGAATTTCTTAAAATTTAAATGAACTTATAAATGAAGATCACCAAATAAAGGAATTATGTGCTATCAATCTGAAAACAAAACATTCACACACAGCTCATAGCATGCAATTAGGCTCACACATGTTCTTCTAATGATGTGTTTGACATATTTCACAATCTCTAAAACTTCATAATTGGAACTAATTATTGTTACCAAATATTTTACATGTCTTCAAATGCATTCAGATGGAAGATTTCACTAATAATTAATAGGAAATCACATTCCCATATGTCACTGAAATATAGTTGATCAGTGGGTCACAAACCTTTATTAAAATTATATTCATTAAAAAATCTTTTCAATCACCAAATGCATCTAATTTTTCAACATTTTAGAACAGCCTGAGCACATATTAAATATGTATTCAGCTGGTAGGAATTAAAGAATATCCTTTCATAATTTCACACTTAGATTTTACATGCCAATGACATCTGTTAATAGTCAACTGAGGCAGAAAAGGACATACTCTTCCTAATTCTTAGTGTTATTTTTTTTACATTCAAACAAAACAACGAATGACATCTAAATATGAGTGATCCCTATACAGCCTAAATTTGAATATTATTTGGGTTCATCAAACAGATGCTTTGGTTTAGTTTGAAGGTGAGCAACCTAGCACACTCAGTATGCGAAAGGCATAGAAATAGCAGGTGGTATTTTTTCAGGAAAAACAGTCCCGTCTCCACCATGAGCAATCTGTGAAAGTTCCAGAGAGTCCCCCTTTTTGCCTCACTGCCCACTTCCCTGCCCGCCAGAAGCCTTGGGTGTTTCAGTGCAAATCAGTTTAGGCAAGAGTTTTACAAGGGGCTGAACTGGAGGCTGATGTGCTTTTCTGAGCTGGGCAATCTGACCTGGGTATGTCAGGTCATCCTGATAGGAACTGTAACTGCCACTGGCCCGTGACCAGCACAAATCGTAACTTCTGCCTTTCTTTGAACTGAAATGGAAGTTAGCACTTAAGCCATTTTCATGGCTTTCAAAAACTGAAATTTCCAGATTGACCCAAGTTAGATATACATAAAAGCTACAAGACATTAAAAAGAATGCCAAAATGGGCCGGTTTATAGACTGAAATGTCTACAAAAGAAAGGAAAATGGAAAAATTTGGATACAAAAATATAAACTGAATACTTTCACTTCACTCTGTAACTAGAATCATTGTATTTGCAAAGCTATGTGGGAGAAGTGGCAGTTTCACCTAGCTTTAGCATTACTGTATATTTGATGATACCTAACAGATATGTGGTAACAGCAACAGTCATAATTTTTTAATGTTTTATGACCTGACGAATGATAACTCAAAAGCCAGATCTCATGGATATAACTTTTTAAACTTTAGGTGGCCTGAAAAGTAATCATACATCCACACTGAATTAGACTCAGACCTATATCTTGACCCCAAGTTTACCCATCTATTTTAAGTTCCAAATCAACACAATCCACCATATTTTAGTTCTCAGTAGTTCAACCAAAATTTGTTTATATTTTCTCCCCTTCTTCAAAATGTAAAAATCTTCCAATACTCTCTAGAATGTTGGTAAGTTGGTAGATTGGGTTCATCTGTAGTGATCATGATTAGACTTCAAAGAATGTCCACTCTCTGTTTAGATAAAATAAAACAAAATAAGAAAGCAAAATAAAAAATCACTCAGAAGGCAAAAGATAAAAGATTTCCAAAACATTTCCTGTCAGGCATGGCTTCTGGACTATAAATTCTTGTGTTATATTAAAGTAATACATCTTTTTAGGAAAGCGTAAAATTTGGAATTAAGGTGGCCTCTTCCACTTGCTTAATGCATGACTTTAATACCACACTCTAAAGAAGAGCGAAGAGCTGGAAAAAGAAAACGGGGTGCAGCGACAACAGCAATATTCCAGAGTTTGGAACAAGAGAGAGTAAAACAATAGAACAGTGAAAACAAAAATCGAGAGACAGAAGAGCTGGAAGAGTGAAGAAGAATAGAATTACAGAAATATTATCATGATTTTTTTAACCTGGAAAAAAGATCTAAGAAATCATATGGTCTGTGTCTCTCCCTTTTTTTTCAGACAAAGCAATTGAGGCTTAAAGTTACACAGCTACTTAGAGCAGAGTGAGGACCCTGACTTATGTCTTTGATTTCCCAATCTTTCTACAACACAATGGAAGATGGAAAGACATCCCAACATGAATAGGCAGGAGAGCATGTTCTTGGTTTTGCTTTTTCTACTTGCTGTGATAGATTTGAGCGGATTAATTCACACTCTCTTCTCATTCCTTATAACCCAAGCCTATATATATAAATATTAAGAAGCAGAAGAAAATAAACAAAACTGCAGCCATATTTTGCAGTTTCGCAGTTAGAACTTCTAGACAGAACTTCTAACTTGAAACTGCCCCAGCCCTTCCACACTTCTGCAAGGCCGTTCTAGAACTTCAGACATGTTCTGCCTCAGATCTGCGGGGTGGTGTTCTGGGGGTCCACGGGTGGCTGAGCGGCCTCTTTGGAGGTCTGGAGCAGGCTGAGGATTCTAGGCTAGTCTTTGAATGACAAGGAAAAGTCCATTCGACTTTAGCTTTAACACTCCTTCAGTAGGCTGGTGAGTGGAGTACACTCTTGTGAAAACTGAGATTAACGTAGACAACAAAGGAGCAGGCTTAAACCAAAAAGAAAAAAAAGAGAAAAGAAATAGAGATGATTTGGATTTAGTGGAAAAAAATAATAGATTAGGTAAAAATAATAAACAAAAAGGTTAAAACACCCAAATTAGTTAATGCAGTCTCTTAACCTCTGTGAAATTTAGTTAGAAGAAAGGCAAGGCCACTGAGTCACTATGATACATTTTCCCACAAGAATTCCACCTTTGTTTAAGAGACTGATTTTTATTTATATATTTTTAAAAAAATTTTTTTGAGATTCTGACTTTTAAAGTATCAAGAGAAATGGTGCAGAGGAGTGTGCTGTTCAGGACGGCAGATTGAGCATGTGTGTTTCTCTCTCAACTCTGTAGAGACTGTGTTAGAATGAAAGTACATGAATAAACCAAATATACACCCACAACAGAGAAGATCATCCGGGAAGGCTAAGAGGGAATGAAATTTTGAATTCATTTCTAAAAGATGGAAAACAACTGGAAGAGTATAGACCAAAGAAGATGAGCAAAGGCAGCTGCAGAGCAAAACATCTCCAGAGTGGGCTGCAGCTGAAGAGAAAGCCAGTTTGCTCAGTTGAATCCAGTGGAGATGGTGGGTGAAGAAATGGCAGATAAAAACACAGCAGGAAATGAGATCTGAGGCTGCAAACTGGAAGCTCCGTATATGGAATGGGGCTCTTCTACCTCTCTGCTGCACACGCAAGAGCCTTCATATAATACCCTCCACGCCCAAATTGAGGTTCCGTCCTCAAAAGCAACTGAGGACATCTGGGGAGGAACCGAGCAGCCGTGGGGATGAGAGTCTGTGAGCCCTGTCTACCCATCCAGGGCAACAATCCCTGCCTACATGGCCTGGGCTCGCAGTCAGCCTGTCTACTGTTTCATTCTTAAACACGAAAGGGAAACAAAGGATTACCAGATATTTGGGGAAATTCTAAGATGAAAAGGAACAGCTGAGATAAACAAGAGGAAAACATATTCCTAGCAGAAACAGAGAATTCAGGGAATAGAAGAAAAGAGAATTTTTAAAACAAAAAAGCAACAATCCTCTAATTGGTATTTCTAGTAAGATTTAATAAAATATTACACACATAAGACCAGACCAGAATACTCTGAAAAAGAATACTTGGAAATTTACAAACATAATAGTAAGTGAAAGTTGGACAGAAGCACTGGAAGAATAGGGTATGGCAGGGGCTCCAATGTAAAACAAAAAGTCAAAAAAACAGGACAGAGTAGGGAAGAGATAAGAAATTTAGAAGATCTATGCAGAGGGTGCAACATCCAATGAATACAGATTCTAAACAGACAGGACTAAAGAAACAAGAGGAGAGGAAATTACCAAAATAATTTCTTAGAGTTGACAGGAGACATGGAATCGAAAGTGCCTTCAAATGATGACCAAGTTAAATGACAAAGAACCTCCCTAGACCCATCACTGAAATTTTAGGACATCAAAAATGGGGAGAATATTTTAAAAGCGAGAAATTTGCAAGTACCCCGTGAGGTGTAAAAATCAAACTGGCATCTGACTTCTCAGAAGCAATACTGCATGCTAGCGAGATGAGAAGCCAGGAATTGTTTCCAAGTTCTACTGGAAAGGCTTGTTCAACCTAGAAATTGATACTCCACCAAACGATCAATCAAGGAAGGCACAATAAAGAGAATTTCAGGCATGCAGAGCCTGACCTCTCACACAACATTTCTTAGGAGGTTACTTAAGGATTTAGTTAAGAAAGAGGATAAAAAGGAATCTAGGAAACAGCATTCACCACATACGGGAAAACTCAAAGTGATGGCTTGCGGCAATTTTAGACAAGCCCTAATCCAGATTGAAGTAGGAGGGTAGAGGGTTTCTGGAGAGAATGCACTGCCAAAAGGTCTCCGTGAAGAAGCTTATGTAATAGCAGCACACAGAAGGGTAAAAAATAATTTAAAAGAAGAATTAGAAGCTCCAAAGAAACAAACCCAAAAAAACCACGTAAAAAGGAAGCCAACTGAAATTTGTCACAACTTTGGTCAACAAGTAGAATGCTTCTAATATATATTTTTTCAAAATTCTCCTGTGACATTGGAACCACCAAGAAGCGGAAGCACATTATATTACTTGGCTCTACAAGGAACAATATGCACATGCTCATAACAACGTAAATGCAGTTTAGTGGTTTTCTATTTTTTAAAATGGACCCATACACAAATTATAGCATAGAGCGTGTTATCAACCCTGACTTAAGTAAAAGTGTAAAGTTATAGTTTACAGAGACAGGGAAGTGGAGGGAGAAATGGAGGGAAGGGTAAGAGCGCTAATGTCCTTATTATACTAAAAAAAAAAAAAAGACAGAGGGAGGGGAGCTCCAAGAAATCACCTCTATTTGATGGAACAAGCAATGACACTTAAGAAGACTTTTCTGAGGTTGCAGAGGTGATTACTCAAGGAATTGAAAAAAGTAACAAAACATCATGTGTTGGAAGCACAGGGAAGGGAGAAGGGAGGAAACGTGTGGGTAGGAAGAAATACCATTCCAGCCAGAAATCAATAGATATGTCCACACTTCATAGTGACAGAAGCATTTTAATTTTAAAAATCTAAAGGTGAGTTGCCAGAAAAATTAAAAGCAAAGCAGTTAAAAGTCATGGCATTCAAGAGCAAGACTAGGGGCAGGGAGGAGTGGAGGAGGAGAGCACACTTTCCAATCAACGTTCTTCCCTAAGATTTCATTACTAAACAACATACATAGTCAGATGGTAATTCAAAAACTTCTTTTCTTAATAATGGGAAACATCAAGGCATATATCCCCAGAGAACTGAGACACATACACAACCATGTTTCCTGCAGTATTGTTTGTAATAAATAGAAAAAAGTTCCAAACAACTAAAATATCCATCAGGAGGGGAATGTACATATGAATTGTGGCATATTCATAGGGTGGAATACTGCAGACCAGTCCAAACGGGTGAACCAGATCAACTATATTAACATGGAGACATCTCAGAAAACAATGCCGAGAAAAAAATAATTTTTGAATGATAGGGAAGGTATACATTAACATTAACAGTAACCAAAAGTATTACTGTTCATCAGTCCTGGATATATACACATGCAGGTCTAGGAAAGCACAGAAGCACAGACCAGACGAACACATCCTGCATTCTTGAGACGGGGAGCCGCTAGGCAGGGAAGGAGGGCCCACACGGTGAGGGGGCAAGAGGGACAGACTTGATCTGTAATTTTTATTGACAAAAAAATATGAGGCAAAAACGAAAAAATGTTAAGATTGTGTTAGTACATAGGTGTTTTTATATTATTCTACTTTTATGTATTGATATTGTCTTTATACTGTCTTTAAAGCGTAAAGGAAGTGAAGCATACCGGAGAAAGAAGATCAAGGGGAAATTATACTGGGAGGATGATTTTTAATGACATATGGTATCATCCTACTCTTATTAGCAATGTCTGACATACTGTAGTTTTAAACAAATGTTTTGTTTTGACTTTTCCTTTAGAAGATCTCAAAATACTAGCCTTTTTTGCATTTTTGATTTGCATATTTACAAGGTTAGTAAGAATTTGGATTTATTATGCACCAAAGGGGTGGAGAAGGATGTCTTCTCCATATAAATCAGGTTGGATGTCTAGGAATTACAGGTATAAATTACTTTCATAAAAACCAATGTTCAAAAAAATCTGAATTTGGAGAACAAATTAAATGAAATACTTTATATAAAAAGTATTACCTCCTTTAAAAAATATGTACTTGAATAGTTTTTAAAAACAATGTGCTCCCACGGTCCGTTTGCTATGCAATGAATTGTGGGGTTTGTTTTTTCCCTTTGGTTTAGAATTGGATAGACCACATTTTGCTGATGCAGTCATCATTTGATGGACATTTGAGTTGTTTCCACGTTTTGGCTATTATGAATAATGCTGCCATGAACATTCATATAAAAGCTTCTGTGTGTGTATATGATTTCATTTTTCCTGGATATATACCTAGAAGTGGAATTTTAGGATCAAATGGAATTCTATGTTTAACTGTTGAAGAACTCCCAGACTATTTTCGAAAAGGCTGCACCGTTTTGTACTCCCACTGGCAGTGTCTGAGAGTTCCCATTTCGGCACATTCTCGCCAACACTTACTATCTGTCTTTTTGATTATAGCCATCCTAGCTAGTGTAAAGTGGTATGTTGTGGGGTTTTTTTTTTCATTTCTCTAATGGCTAATGATATTGAGCATGTTTTTATTTGCTTATTGGCCATTTGTGTATCTTCTTGGAGAAATGTCTATTCAGATCCTTTGCCCATTTTTTAATTTTGTTAAAATATACATAACATAAAATCGGCCATTTCAATTATACTGAAGTGTACAATTTAGTGACATTAACTACATTAAGCAGTACACTGTTAATATGGAATTGATGGCAAAGGTATCAGTTTGAGTCAGATGGACCCGGGCTTGAATCGAGGTTTTTACATGTACAGGTTAGATGATTGAAACAAACTACTGAACTACTCTGAGCCTCAGTTTCATCATCAGAAAGTATAAGCTGGGCCAGCCCTGGTGGCCTGGTGGTTAAGTTTAGCGCTCTCCACTTTGGTAGCCCAGGTTCAGTTCCTGGGCATAAACCTACACCACTCATCTGTTAGCCACCATGCTGTGGCAGCAGCTCTCATAAAAAAGAAAAAAAGAGGAAGACTGGCAATGAATATTGGCTCAGGGCAAATGAAAGAAAAAAAGAGAGAAGGAAAGAGAGAGAGAAAGAGACAAAGAGAGAAAATATAAGGCTATTAGGCCTATGAGAAAATTAAATAAAATAGTATGAATGCGAAAGCAGAGAGCAGATAGTAAATTTGCTTGGCACTCTTTAGTAATATCATGTGAATTATACTGTATTACTTTTCCCTAAAACAGTAAATTTTAGTTACTTAGGAGATTAAAGCAGAATGTGAGATGAAAGAAAGTTACTGAACTTTAGAAGATCTTTACCATTAGTAAAATTGTTGAAATTATATTTTTCTGCACACTTCAAAGATTCCCATTATATTTCAAAAACTGATTTATTCCTAATTGTGTTGTCTGTGTACTTGGCAAGCCCTCGTAATAAACTAAGCATCTTGCAGGCTAGTTATGCTTAAAGAATATCTTATGAGATTATAAAGTCAAATATTTGCAAAGCAAAATAGTTGTCTTACAAATAAGGTTATTCACTCCCACTAGAGGTATCTTAAAAATTCTATACACTTCTTTAATTTACCAGAACCCGGGGGCATTCGGTGATTTTGAGTCTACTGGTCTATAACGTCTGGCGGATGACCTGCTGTGGCATAATGGTCATCTTCAGAGCGTGTATGTGAGACAGTGGGGTGGCACCAGTCTACACACATTCACTGAGTCAACCGACATCCGCCGTGTCGGGCATTTTCTAGAAAAGGGAAAAATCATTTGGGGTAGGTTCAAGTGCATTTTGCTGAGGTGGGCCTGATCGTTTCCCTTCCCTGGTAAACACTTAGAAACCGTTTTCCCGGTAGTTCATGGGGGAGATTTCAGAACTTAATACCTTGAAGAGAGAGTGTTTTAGCTTCTCTTGAAGAGGCAGTAAAATGGTTATTCCCTGCATTAATATATACTTAAATAGTGAAGGCTTTAAAATTTTATTTAGATAAGTATTTAGATTTTTTTGACAAAAACTCTCATACTAAAGGCAAACCCCTCATATTTATGAAAAAAATCTCTTCCTTACTCTCTCTTCTAATCTCCCGATTTTCACTTTGTGAATGTGCTAAGATCCTTCCTACCACAGGGCTTTGTACTTGCAGGGACCCCCGCCCAGCTCTACCTTCCACCGCAGAACCTCAGTAAAGAGTATTCATCTTCTAGATCTTAGCTCAGATGACGCCTTCCTGTCTTCACCTGCTCACCCCCACCCCACACACTAAGCTCTTAGAACACTGGGTGCCTTGCTTTTACAACATGTAGCTTACAATTATTACATATTATATAATATATAACAATATTATTATATATTATATTTTATTATTATTTATTTCCATTTTAAGTTGCTTAATGCTTAGCTTCCCCACTAGGCTGCACACTTCAGGAGTTTCTGTTCTTCTGATCATTATAACCCCAGGGCCTGGCATAGTGGCGGCACAGGATGGGGATTCCATAGATAGTCCTTGAAAGAATGGATGAAATGAATGAATGAATGAATTTTAAAATGAATAAACTACTTTGGAGAGTGAAAAGAAGACAAGTTCTTTCTAGTCTGCTTCTCACTCAGCCACTCCTCTAAGACTTCACTGTCTCATTTCCTAGATAGTAAGGAGAATTTCCTAAAAATTTGTTTTCAAAGAGCCTAGCAACATCCTAGACTGGCTTGCTGGACTTACTCATACTCACTATGTGCTTGTTGAACAAATGAATGAGTGACGAAAAATATAGTTGAAATATCACTATAACTACAATAATGTTACTGTCTGAATTCATAATGGAAGAGAAAAGAGAGGAATGAATATTTTACTAATTGAAAAAGATCAGCAGCTCTGTTTTAATGAAAGGAGACTCCCTGGCTTCTAGTGAGCAATGCAGAGCTGAGGAGTGCACAGGCGGGCCGGTTCAGACTCAGGCAAAGTGAAGTTTCTATGAGGAGAATGATCCTACGTAAAAGGTAAAACGACACTGCTGCCTGCTCCGAAGATGCAACAGTGTCTCTTCTGCTGAGGGATTACAATTTAAGCTTTTGCATTGTTGTGTCTACAGTAGTACATGCCTGCCCATTCACTCATTGATAAGCTATAGAACAGTGCTTTTCCTAACTCAAATCATAGACCATCAGTATGAGAAATCAATTTAGTGGGTTGCAATCAGTATTTTTTTTTTATGAAATAAAATTTTTAAACAGAGAGCACTGCAAATAGTAAAACTGTTCCGAGCATCTTTTGTTTCAGTTTTACATGTCTATGTCCGTGCATGTACCAGGTTGCGAGGTAACATGTATTTCTCGCTGTGGGTCATGGTCAGAAAAAAAAAAAAGAAAGCCACTGCTGTAGAGAACAAACAGGCTCCAAAGTCAGAGAAACGGGTAAGCTAATCCTGGCTCTAAAACAAGCTACCTAACCACTATGAGCTTCAGTTTTTTCTTCTGTAAAATGAGATAATAATACATATCCCACAGGGAACTGAAAGAACAATAATGTAAACTATGTGAATACGTAAAATGATGATAACTGATATTTATTGAGGCCTTCCTAAACCACAGGCACCATCTTCTCTAATCCCTAAAACAACCCCATGAGGTAAGTTCTATAAAGCCTCATTTTATAGGAGAGGAAACTGAGACACTGAGAATCGAAGTAAAAATCTTAATGAAGGTAGGAGTACATATCTCAGTGATCCGCACACAGAGAAGTGGACACTGCTATCATGAGTGACCAGCAATTCTTCAATGAATCCCCACTTTAATTCTTTGCATACTGCAGGAGCAGTTCAACAAATATGCGTGATGGGTAAAACCCAGCCCTTGAACTCAGAGCACCTTCACAATAAATTACATACTAAAATGCTCTGGGAACGTTGGGAAAGGGGCAAATTGGGAAATACATCTGTTAAAGGAAGGCTTGAGCAGAGCAGGCCCTCCAGCAAGGTCTCCATTGACATGGGGGTGTCTGGAGAGGTGGGAAGGAACAGTAAAGGCAAGGTCAAGGCCAGGAGACAGAAAAAACTGGATATGAAAGTCGATAAGAGATTGCAGAGAGAAGTCGCTGAGTCTAGCTTACAGGGACCGTACTTCATCTTGTAGCTACAAGGAAACCACTGAAGACTTTTAACAGTGACTAATGATAAAGATGCAACATGAGACTGCATAATAATTTCCATACGATTATTGTTTAAAACATCACGTTGATACTTTAACATGAAAACTGAACTTTATCTTTCCGGTTTTATGAGTGGAAAGCCAACTTTGCTCCAAGGGAAATTATGAGAATTAATAAAACATTCATTAAGCTCTACAGTTTTCTGAGAAATTCTATTATAGACATAGGTACAAATTATTTTATTATAGTTGATTAGTTGTTTCATAAACTACTTTAGCTTGCAAGGAACTATTTAAGTTTTATTATGATAATTTCATTTTTCAAATTGCAGTGTTTGAGGATAGGGTTATTTAACCAGTTTTTGAATTGATGTAAATAATTATGGAGATGATAGATATTAAAAATATTGATTCCAGCCTTTTGCCTAAGGATAATCAATTTATACTAAAAAAGTGTATCCAAATATCCATTCTCCATCAGACTTGACCATTAATATCTTAATATTTATTTTATTATATACTGTGACCCAGAAGAAAGATATGTGTACACTACCTACTGAATTTTGTCTGCCCAGTTTCAAATCCTTGCATCCTGCTATTCTTGAAAATATATAGTAGATTAAACAGACTCATATTACAATGAATTGAATAAAATAAGAACTTTTAAACCTTGAAAATGTTTAAAGCTCTAGAAGGCATATGACATCTAAAACGTAACCTTATATATTTGGGGTTAAGAAAATAGAAAATGGGACCTTCTGAAAATTAAGTCCTTGTGCCCAGGAACAATTCTTGGGGTTTGGAACATCTTCCCAAAACAGCTTTTTCATTCTACAAAGGATACAAGGTGTTAGAATGAGAAGAAAACATTCATATTGAAAACGTTAACAGTTAATGAATGTATAAACTAGAAAATTAATCCCCCAGACCAGCTATGCCTCAGTAGGGTCAGACTCATTTCACATGCTATCACATGAAGATTTCCACCAACGTTCTGTCTACACAAAGTTAATAATCACTACAATGATAAAAATAGCCAACACTTATTGAAAGTTGTGTGCAAGGTGCTGTGCTAAACGCTTTGCATAGGTTTTTCTCAGAGAAAATAAAATATTAAAAATGGTCATCAGGTGAGTTTCAGAAACAATTTCACTTGATATGGGCCCCATCAGCTGCCTGGACTGAAAGATCAGTTCAGACTCTCAAATCTCCTCTCTGCCTTTTTTGCTGGAAGAGGCAAGTTTCTGTAGAGACTCAGCATGTGTGAAACACCATCATTGGTCCAGACCTCCCAGCACGGCGTGATGTGGCACCCACAGAGCATCCAGGAGGTTCAAGGCCAGCACCAAATCAGACAGGCGGGAGCCACACGGTGCTGCTGTTTAAAAAGCAGAGTGCTTACTGCCCATAATGAACTGACTGCTCCAGGCAGCTCTTCAACCACACTGCACAGCTCTGAAAGCCCTTTCTGCCACCTCCAAGAACGTCCTGCCTCGGATTTCCTGTGATATGATTGTTATTCTCTGAATTTAGATACATAAAAAAACTAATTCTTCCAAGAGGTTTATGTCATGCTAGCAAAATGGAATGTGGTGTCCTGAAAACAGGCGTTTTCTTTTTATGACATCTTAATTGTAAACTGGTTACAAATAAAATATGTAGAATACATGAATGTTTCTGATTTGGGTTTTAAATCAAGCTTTAACCATGCTCAAGATTCTTCACACCAAGTACACTACCTTTGATGTGATATTAACAATGTTCCAAGCAATAAGATGGAAGAGGAAATAATTATTGGCACAATTACATATAGACCTGCATCATTCTGGTGTTTTTCAATATCATCTGAAAAAGAAATACAATTCACACAATTCAGAACTTGAGGAAATAACACCTTTCTATATCAAAAATTATAGTAGACTTTTTTTCTGATTTCATCATCAGTCTGATTTCATCATAAATCTGTATTATCTCAAAATAAAAAAGAGGAAGATAACTATAGTTATGATCACATTAATAAAAGTATTACTATTTTGTTCAGAATTATGCTTATTGTAATTTAGCAAAACATTTGTTCAAAATTACTTATTTGTCAGTTCTCTCCATCTGATCACTTTTGGGTTATATGAGTCAAAGTGCCAATTGTGATGATGACCCCGGTTCAGCATCCACTTCTGGAGAAGCCAGCCTACAACACCTGCCAAAATCTATCCTGTTCACACCAGACACATTGACCTCCTTGCTGTTCTCTGAACCACCAAGTCTGCTCACTCCCCAGGGCCTTTGCACTTGCTATCCCTTTGCTGAAATGTTCTTCTCCTTTGTCCTTAGAGGGCTGTACTCGAACATCACCTGCACGAAGAAAAAGACCAACTTTGGCCATCCTAACTAAAGCCCACATTTTATTTTAACTCTATCCCTTCATTTACTTTCATTTTGCTTCATGGCGCTTATTTCTACCTGACATTATCATACACGATTTGTTTATTGTCTGTCACTCCCGTCCGAGTCCTGGAGATCCAGCTCCATGAGGGCAGAGACTATGGTCACAGTTCCATGCCCAGAGCTTGGAACAGTGCTCAGTAGATATTTGCTGAATAATACAGGAATGAATCTCTACAGTTATTGTCATTCTAAAACCAGGTAAAATGTTTCTCTTTTGAAACTTCATTATTGAGGTGCTTGGTTTTGAAGACAATTTGAAAAGTAATAGCAAATTGTTGATACTCCAAGTATGGTAAAATCAATCAGAAATACAAGAAGCCCGGGGAACTTATGTCTATAACTCTCTCTTCAGTTTTACTTTTAGAGGAAAAAATATTTCCTTTAGAAGATTGATCAAAATTTAAAGAGGTATAAGTATATTCCCCAAACATATTTTTTGGGGTAGGTGCATTTCTATGAATTATACAGAAAATTAATATTTTTCCAATTAATCTCTATGATGATGTATTTTATTGCATAGCTGTGTATTTCTCTTTAGTTTGTTCCCATCAACTTTTTACCCAAAATTTTACTTACCAATACCAGAATTCAATACCATGACTAATTATTTCCCCTCTTACTACCCCCACGGGATCACATACCCTTACTGCGGTCACCCCATGACACATCCACATAAGACTCTGGACTCTTCCATGATTCCATCAGAAACAGAATAATCAGATGGCAGCATTACTGCTGACTAAACAGAAAACCACAAATCTGTATAAAAAGAAACTAAAAGAAAACTTTTACCTTGGGTAAAACTGTTGATTATCTTCGGTTTGCCCACTCCTTCCATAAATATTGGGTAAAGACCAATCTGATACTTCTCAATGGGGATAAAATGATCTGAGGAGAAAAACATATTAAAGGGTCTTTCTTACTGAATTAATATAAATGAAATCTATGAAAAAAAATTTTAAGTGACTCTCTTATATTTCCAAACACAGTAATTATTATTTATGAATTGAAACTGATGATTGAAAGTTTCAAAAACAACCCAAGCATTCTAAATTCTCCTAGTAATGACAATAATTTACAAATTTACAAATAATTTTTTTATAAATAATTTTTTTAAACCTTACCCAGAGATAGAAGAATGAAATTTTTCAAATGTAAGTTCCAGTGATAGCCAATTTGTTCAAGCCCAGGGTGTAGGAGTCGTTTTATTTCCCTGTCCAGGGCAATCTACTTCACCTCCTCTCCCGTGTCCCTGAAGCCACCGATATTCCCCTTTCATGGGAACTCAGCTTACTTAGTTTCCCCATTCAAGGCAGCTGGGAGACTAAAGTCTTGTGAAATCCTATGCAGAGAAGATGGGGGTGGGACCAGGAGTCCCCTAGCAATATCCAGGGTCTGGACCCATGGAGCACGACCATGTCCATAGCAAAGCTCAAAATGAATCTATCAGTGATCTATCATCTCACCAATGCAAATAATATATAAATATTATTCCACAAGAGATAAATCTCTTTGAAGCCTAAATTCTATACGCACATGCTTTAAAGAAAAACACAGAGGGTTATGAACTGAACTTAGTTCTCTATCAATTATTTGTTTCTATTTACCCTGATGCTAAATTCTAGGTCTTCGGAATGAAGGAAAAGTCTGAGTCTTTGGGGATGATATTTCCTAGTAAGATCATGGCAGTCCTTAGCTTCCCTCCTTAAACCTTCCCAGACATGGAGATGCTGTATTGTGCACTTTGACTTTGTACTTTAATCACCTCCTGGGGCGAGTGGGCTATTTCCAGGAGTTTATGCTGGTCCTCGATCCTCAGACCGTCAGCCTGGCACTCCCCCTCATTGCTACTGGCATTATAAGTTGGTACACAGTTTGGGAAAACAACTTGGCAGCAGATATCAAAAGCCATTTAAAAAAATGGTTTAAAAAAAAGGTCAAGTTGGAAGCAACACAAATGTTCTCAAAAAAATAGTTTAAGTAGATTTTGGAATAAAATGTTGTATCATTAAAAATGATGGTTAAAGGATTGGAGAAAAATAGAAACATAATGTTGATACATCAAAGAAATAAATCAGAAGAAAAGTGGGAGATGATAGGATTACAACTGTGTAAAATATTTATATGGAAAAGGATCAAATGAACTAGAAGTAAGCGTTTGTGGTCAGGTGATAAAATTATGTATAGATGGTAGTACCATCTATATTTTTGAAGTTTTCATGAATTGGCTGTGTTATTTGAATTAATAATCTGTAGCATCATACGAATCCATAAGAGAGATTTATTAAAGGACGGTAAACTTACCATGGATATAATACTTCTTGACAGATGAAGGGACTCTAAGCCATTTGATGTCGCCATCTTCAGTGAGAATTTTCCACTCAATAATGAAAGACACCAGGTTGTAATCACCGGCTGCTAGCGTCCAGGAAAGAATCACACAGCTGCTGTTTAACGGATAAGCGCGGAGTGACTCCACGGCATTGACTGAGGGGAAAAGAGGAAATTTATTTGTAAATTCAAAATTAATGAAAATCTCCTAATACCCTGGAGGAACACAGAACTACTGGCAAAAGGGAGAAGGAAGAGAAGGCAGACATTTACATAAATAAATATAATGCACGGCGATTATTTTTGTATTAGAAGGGTCACATAAGCAGAGAGATGTGGGAATATACGCTGTTGAAGAGAAAGAAGATTCTACCTAAAATCTGCAAAAGGGATTTGGGGATATAGTCAGAAAGGTGTTCTCCACTGGAATACTGCACAGCCTGGAAATCATCCCGTCTAATTCCCTGCAGACTTCTCTCCTGCGGACGGAGTCATGCTTTCAAAGCACCAAGCTGATCATTTTAACACCTTCTGCACAGAGTCCCGCTGAACAGCCTCCAGTGGATTTCCACACGTGAGGATGAAACTCCTGTCATGTCTACAAGGCCCCGTGGGCCAAGCGTCAGCCTACCTCTGCCTTTCAGGATTTTGCACACCGGAGCCACCCCAGTTTTCCTTCACACTCTCCTGTGCCATAAGGACTTTTGGTCAGATCGTCCCTCTCTCAGGAGCCAATGCTCTGCCCCCCACCTTCTGGGGAAGTTTAATTCCTATACCGCTTCCTCAAGAAAGCTTCTCTGACCCTCAATACCAGGTAAGCTTCTTATTTTCTTTTCCTTTATAAAATTACATTTGTTTCCTGAGAACTTATCTCGATTTGTAAATGGGTGTTCACTTTACTATTATCCGATTAATGTCTGTCTCACCTACTGGACTCCATGAACGCTGAGACCATTCGAGTTTTTCTTATGTTGAAATTCCCAGGACCTAGCACAGTGCAGCAGTCAATAAATATTTCTAGAACAGAAACACTGAAAATATTTTCAATGTAAACATTGTGCTAGGTGCTGTGGAACTCACATGAAGGTTACACTGTACGTACAAAAGTAATAATATAAGGCAGGATATAAAATATCTTAAGAAAGGTGGAAAACACTGAGACTTAAAGAAAGAATAGGACATATCCAATAAAGGCAAGAAGCAAAGACTTCAGGGAGGAGGCCACATTTGGAAAGGCCTTTATAGATTGGCAGAGGTGTAGGAAATTCTAATTTTCCATTAAAAAATTATACTTTGAATATTTAATCCAGATTAGAAACTTCTATTGAAGGTGGTTTTCAGTTTGCTAATTAATCAAATATATCAAAATTAACGAGAGTTCATCACTCATATTATATGAAGTACAGGGCCATATTCAAGTCTGAGCAATTATTTGCATCCATATAATACCTCATACTATTACATATATATGTAGTATACCTAACACACACACATACACATTTATTTTTACATATTTGATATATATATATATATACACACACGTATGTGTGTGTATACAGAAAGAGAGAGAGACATTTATCTACAACCTCCATTGGTCCAAAAGTCTTAGATTCACTAGAATATTCTCACTTATTACACCATTTCAACAATGTTCCACCACATGGAAACCCAAGGACCATATCACATCATCAGGGCACAATCTGTTTTGTTACTTTTCCGACAAAGAAGAGATCACAGGTGAGAGACTTTCAGATTAAAAGTATCATAGGCTTCTTGGGAGACCATTTAGAATGGGAGGAGTTCGCAAAGATTAAATATGAAAAGGGGCACAGGTGTACTACCCTGTGCCTCTTCTTACCTTTGCTCATAGGCCATGAGAATGTTAAATTAAAATTTGTAAGAGAAGCACCAATTGAATTGACGGCCAGAACTGTAACCGAGTGCGCTTGCTCTGTCCATGGGAAAGTGAATTTAGTGTGATTTCCCACATCTTCTGACCACGTTCCATTCCGGGAAGTATGATGTCTTACCACATATCTTCTCACACTGCACAAGGAGTCATTTTTCATCAGGGGCTGTAGTAAACATAAAAATTGATGAGTTTCAGGGCTATAGTGCTTTTTATACCCACTGAGCTCATGGAACTCTTCCTGTACGTTTCCCATTGAGGGCAGGGGCAGCCGCAGGCAAGCACTGCCTATTTGAAGGCTGAGTATGGGGAGGTGGGGGGATGGAGGCTGCTTCTGACCATGACCCCATGAAGGTCTGGGTGAGTAGGGAGCAGAGTAAACTTATTTTCCCCTTTTGGGTTTTTCCTTAAGACGCAGAGAATGAATCTTTTGAAGATAATAATGAGTCATTTGAAGTATAGGTACAAATAGGACACATTTCTACCAAGAAGTTTCACTCTAATTCCGGAGAAAAGAAAGACTGGCAGGATCAGAGAGTCTCCTCGTCTAAAAAGCAAATAAGGAATAACCCTTTGGCTCAGTAAAGCAGCAAGAAGAAGAAGCCAAAAAGATGTTAATCACCACTTGCAGTAATCCCAGCAACATTTGTCACTGGTTTGCCTTTCCCCTAATATGCTGCCACTTTAAGTAACAGATTATCAGGACAGTGTAGATGGCAGCCCAGAATTTCTGTCCTATAGTTTTAAAAAAAATCATACCAGGTCATTGACAATTCCAATGTAAAATACACATCTAGTCCAATTCTATTCTTTGATTCTACAGAGTATCACAACATACCTCTCTTCCCCCATGACCTTCACCTGTTGCAGGTAAGGTTAAATGCTGCCCATCCCTTGTAAACCCAAAGAAAGCTTGACTGTATACAACAGACCAGAACAGTGCTTCTCAATTTCTTTTTTTTTTTTTTTTTTTTGCCATTGAGATGCCTCAAAGTCAGAAATACCAGAGGAAAAAAACACAAACACATAAACATGTAGCCCTGCAGGGTGTGGACAATCTGGGTAGGTGGGGAGTAAGATTTTAGCAGCCACTGCAAGAAAGAAACGTCTGAAAAGTCATGCAAATTTTGCATGTTGTTCTTAAAAACCTGTCAGTTTTCATGTACAAATATTTACTTTTGTAGCCATCAACTAAAAAGGATGATAAACTTCCTTATTATCTGGTACAACAAGTTGCTCCAGGCTCATCTTGTGTATTTCCTGCCCCAGCCCTATAACCAGCCATTTGTTCAAGGAGCCCTAGCTCCTTTTATTGGAAAACGGTGTTAGAAACAAATTTGGGCATGCTCCTTGCTACTGGAGTGCTGTTACTTCAAGGCCCTCTCAGCTTACAAATCAAGGAAATGTATGTGTGTATGCTAACCCCTATACATATACATATTTAGAAATATTTCCAAATGAATCTGTCTGTATCCATGTTAAGCTAAACATGAGCTCATACTGATGTTTTCAACTCTAATCCATTACCACATGGATCATTCCAGTCTTCTCCTCCTTGCCTGTTGTAACCAGTTCAACAGTGAGAAACCTGCGTCCCACCATCCACCATCCATTTATTTAATGGTTCTATTCCAGTTTGCATTTACAGCGGTACAAGAATTGTTAACCCATACCCCGTGAGAAATAACTTTATCAGCTAGAACACAGTGCTTATGTACAGCTTCTTTTGCCTTCAGTTTTAAGAATCCATTCAGCTACAAAGTTACTTAGGCCTGCACCTTTTACTCCCACCTTCTTCAGTGAGGTTGTTTCACACACTTGTAATACGGTTAGATTCTCTTGTCACAGTCTGGATTCCATTCTGGGATTCTCCAACCTCCTAAATGATTTATTTTTAATTTGAGTACGTTAAGGTTTGCTCTTTGAGCTATAAAGTTCCATGGGTTTTGGCAAATGCATACTGCTACGTACTCATCAGGATAATATTACACAGAACAGTTTCACTGCCATAAAAAATCTCCTGTGCTCCAGCTATTCAAACTTTTCCCCATCAGCAAAACCCCTGAAGACCACTGATCTTTTTTATCATTTCTATAGTTATGCCTTTTCTAGAATGTCATATAAGTGGAATTATAATGTAGCCTTTTCACATGGGCTTCCAGCACTTAGCAACATGCATTTAAGATTCATCCATGTCTTTTCGTAGCTTTATAACAACTTCTGTTTATCAATGAGTAATATTCCATTGTATGGAAGTACTATAGTTTGTTTATCCACTCATCTATAGAACAGTATGTTGGTTGCTTCCAGCTTTTGGTAATTATGAATAAAGCTGCTAGGGTCATTTGTGTGCAAGTTTTTATGTGAACACAAATTTTCAAATCAGTTGGGTAAATACCTAACAGTGCAATGCTGGATCATATGGTAAGACTATGTTTAACTTTGTAGGAAACTAAGAAACTGCCTTCCAAAGTGGCTGTGCTGTTTTGCATTCCCATCAGCAAAGAATAAAAGCTCTCTCTTTTTTTTTTTTGTCTGTTTTTTAAATTTTATTTCTTGTCAGTTTTTGGATTTTAACCATTCTATGTGTGTGCAGTAGTATCACATTGTCGTTTTAATGTGCAATTCCCTAATGACAAATGATGTTTCTATGGACTGAATGTTTGTGTCACTCCAAAATTCTGACCAAAAAATTTATTTGCTTGGAATAGAAATAAAGTTCATTTGGGCGACACAATGCTTTGAAAATTGCTAGACTGAATATCCATCGTTTGGGAAATATCCATTGTTTATATGCCATCATAAGAACAGAATAATCTCTTGTTTAAATGCCCTTGAGATACGTGGGGAAGGCCAGGTTTGCTTTGTTTAGGCTTAAATATAAACAGAATTTAGGGACTTTAAGGAACTCTAGATATCATCTAGTCCAATCCTACATTTGTACAGATGAGAAAATTGAGGCTGAGAATCTAAGTGACTTTGCTAAAATAGTACTGATGTACCTACAATATGTTAAACTGAGAAGAGAATTACAGTCACCAAACTCCATGCCAGTGCCCCCTCCACTACACATCCTAGCTCTGCAATCACATCTCAGAATTAACATGAAAATATGGGATCGCAGAGCCTGCTGGAGATTATATTAATGTCAGGTTTACGAACAGTGAAGTAAAACTTTTAAGAGCATAAAAGTATAATTTAAGAATAACATAAAAAGCAGGAATACCTTCCAAAGTAAGGTGACATTTTTCTCTTTTTTAGTGGTATCTTCATTAATTATTCTCCAAAATTCAGGTCCTCTGATAGGAACTGCATAATGACAAGGAGCCCAAGTTGTACATGTGATCTTGGAAGGAATATTTTTCAGTTATATTTGAAACACACACTTATGCATTTTTAAGACACATTTAGAAAAACTCGGCAGACCTTTTATATCCACGACAACCGTGTAGGCTGGAGCGCTCCAGTTACTCCAATAGCCCAGTCCATCCTGCCTCTTGCAGCGCACCTGCACAGCATAGACTGCACACAGGTCTGGCACCAGGAGACTGGCGGATTTTGATCTTGCATCATATACCTCATACGTCTGTAAAATAAGTCAAAGCATGAACACCTATGTAGCTAAAGGGCCCTGAAATTCATTGGACTTTAAACCTTAGCACTATTCCAAAATTCAGAGAGAGCTGACTTTGTGTTTTCTGGTTTTAGAAATACTCATATGAGGCTTGGATCATGAGCTCCTTGCGGGTAAAAATTGTCTTAGTCATCTTCTTATTTCCTTCTCATGACCAGATTCGGACTCGTTCATTTGCAACCTCGCTTCCCAAACACTCTCTTAACCCTATTACTAATCTCGGTCCAGCATCCTCCATCCACAAAGACTTCTAAGCACTTTAACCCAGTGGTTAGATGGGGCCTGCTGTAGAGAATCGCTGACGTTCAGTCTCCTCAGCGGGCAGGTAAGGGTCACACTCATTCCAGTTGAAATCATTGTGATCTAATGACATGATTAGGGTGCCTGGTAATTCTGGGTCTTTGCAGCCTGCCATCAGAGAACGGACACGGCGAGTCATCTTATGCACACTTGCCACAATGGGTGTGATTCTGGTTGTTTGACAAAACGGCTTCTCCCAAAATGCATCCCAATGAATGTACAAGTATAAAGAATATTGCTAGATGTTAGAGACAAAAGGCTTCCTTGGTAAAATGAGTTTGAGAAACATAGGATGAACAAAAGTCACAAATGTCTCCTTAATGAAGGCCTCTCCAAACCTTTAATACATAATATACTATGACTATACTAGGGGCACACAGTGAGGCGAGGTTTCCTAAAGTGATTTAGGAACATTCCAAGGAAGAGTTTTTCAAAGAACATATTTTATGGTACAAATGTTCTGTAACACTCACTTTGGGCAATGATGGATTGCAGGAAATTTCATTCCTTAAAAAGGTTAGACTTAGATCAATCTATTTAACATAAATAACTACAAAATACAAGAGGATATACTGTTATGCCAATAAAATAAATCTTATGCAATACAATTCTTAAATAGTTATAAGAAATAACTTTTAGTGAGGCGAGCTGAAGAAATTTCCACGTAAAAGGTACCTTCCATTGGACTTCTTTTCCACTTAAACCATAGCGAATCTGGAACTGAAGATTATTCTCTGGAAAGACTGGCTTTTCCCAAGAAATTTTCAATAACCCAATTTTTACAGTAATTTCTGCTTTCACACTAGATGGAGGCAGTGGTTTCACTAGAAATTTAAAAAACAGTATTATGTAACAGTAATTTAAATGATGTTTAAAAAACATTAGTGTGATATAATTTTTCATATCTTATATTTATAAAGCAGTATCTTTTTCTCAAAACTTTCTCATTCGTTATCTCATTTAATCCCCTATAATTTTATGTGATACACACGAAAGGGATCATCTCTATTTTGCAAATAGAGAGGATGAGTGAAAAAAAGTCAAAACAGTGTTCTTGTCCTCTGCAAGTTAATAGTTAACTTGATTAGAAATTGATCCATTGGTTCTGCATGCAAAAGCAACCATACTGAACACGTGGGACATGTCAGTAGCAAACTCTGCTCTACACAGAGCTTCAATCAAAGGCAAAAAGCATGCACTGCGGCCACTCCCACATGTGTAAATTTCCAGCTCTTCTGCTGCTGTCTATTGTTAAGTATTCCCACGTGAAGGTCAGAGACAGGCTTGCAGAGTAAAGCCTTGGTTCCTACAATCTGAGAAAAACAGACTTTTAAAGGGCAGAAATGGAGGTAAAGATGACAAGAATGTCAAGAGCTCTAAAAAAAAAAAATAGTAAAGGACAATATGTAAACTCATCATGTTGTAAAAGTCCCAAAGCCCAAGCATAAGCTCAGGACTTCATCAACAATAATACTTGAGACTGTTCATGACCAAAACTCCTCAACTGTTCCATTGCTACACAGGTTCTCACGCTTGCTCAATTCTTCCGGTGCCAAGAAGACATTCTTCACCAACCAGTAAGATGACGTATATTTCATCTCACGAAAAGATAATTCCCCCTCAGGAAAGGAAGGATGAATGTTTGAAAGACCCTAAGGCATTAGATCTCAGATTGTACTTGACTGAATCATATGGATATCACATGGATACAGCCCGTAGTTTGCAGAAAGGGTGCTTTGAAGTACAATGGTTTACATGACCCCCACAACACCCACACTGGGGAGGCATGAGGAGCTTCCTGCACTCTATGGGTGATAAAACAGTCACGGAGTGCTTATGTGATTAGCCCAAGTTTACAAGGCGGAGCTGGCATTTGGATCCCAGAGTTGAATTCCACATTTTCTAGTACTCAGTAGGCAATATAAGCCCAACTTAGATTCCTTATTTTAGTACTGAAAAGAATAACATTAAATGTTATTCAGACAGCATAAAAAACTGGATCCATACTGCATCTGTCATAGAGGACATGTGAGGGTGTATCTGTGCATGCTTATGGGGACGGGGGTAGAGGGTTTCTTTGCTATCCTGGGTGGGATATTTAGTATCAGAGAAGTGCCACCTACAGTAAAATCACCTAAAATGGAAGCAACCTAAATAGTGGGGGCGAGGGGAGAGCAATCAATTAATTGAGACTTTACATTAATAAAGAAACCTAAAAATTATAACTTTATCCTGTATTTAACAAAATGTAGATTTTAATTCAGATGTATACTAATTATTTGAAATTATAATGAATCAAATATTGATTTGGGGGATAATTTTCCAATAAAATAGTATATAGCACCAAAAGATATTCTTTTACCTCTGCTGCACAATCTTTAATGGGTCATTTCTCAAAGATTTCACAACAATACTAGAGAGATAGATCATATTATCCAAGGGCTTTCTTAATCCTTTGAAATCAAAATATCTTTCAAAAAGTGTTTAAAATATCACGATGTATGTCATCATCCTTGTCTCTTTTCTCTTCTTCACTTCACTTTAGTTATTTTGAATTCTTCTGCTCCCTACACAACCTCACAAATTAAAGCCTTGTGTTATGACTACTCAACTTACAAAAACTGTCAGAATACTCCAGTTAAACTTTTAGATTAAAAACAGCAAATGTTTTCATAAGTACATTAGGAGAAAAACACAAAGTAGTACATTATTTAGAATAATATTACTACTAACTTTCATTCCCAATGACCAATATAATTCATCAAATCGTATGCTGAAAATATTCCTATTGCTAAAAAATTGAGCTATAAATAATTTAAAATAAAATCAAAACTGTAAAACTTTCTAAGGCTGATTGTCTTCTCAATTCCATTGTAAACAGGAAAAAAAAATTTCAATCTAGTGTGATCAGAAAATGGATAAATACAGGTTACCCTGAATCAACTTCAGTCCAAATCTGCTCATCAAAATGAAGACACACAGCACAGCGCGACATACCCACAGAATCAGGGACGACACACACTGGGGCAGAGTCCAGTGAACCCAAAGCGTGATTGATTCGGATCCACATCGTGTAGCCGGATAACAGAAAGATTGGCTGAAACACGCATTCATGAAAACCATTCCTCTGCAAATGGCAATCTTTAGGTTCAGATACGGGATGAACAGATGGAACATCAGAACAGTAAAGGCTGCTCCTGAAAAGATACAAAAACTCCATTAATATACAACATTGATGAAAGCAACAAGATATTTGAGAATTCTGCTTTGCTGTTTAAAAGAGACTGTTTTTGCTCCACTTAAAAACAGTTGCTCTTATTGGAAAGGCATTTTGGAATTCCTAGCTATATCACAATCTTATGTCTTCCCATCAAAATAGACAATAACCCTTATTAAATATTTCATTAGACACTAAATGGGGATGCAAGTGAAATAAGTGGCATTGCTCTAACAATGAGAGAATGACTCAATTAGAGATAGAACCTACAACACTTTGAAAGCTAAGCTGATATTATACCAAAGCAACACAATTTTAAAAGTATAGCTCACAAGTAGCAATAGGGCATTCCCAAGATTGGAAGGAAGGTAAATTCCTTACACGATAAGCAGAGATCAATTCCATGACAAATAGAAGATGTAATTGATAGTAAATATAGCCTAATAGATTGTGTTCTAGTATTTTCTAGTTCAAAGCAATTAAAATAATACTAATTCTTGATTTGCATATGAATCATACAGTCAAGAATATCACCCATTTTCTCAGAGAAGAAAATTAAGAAATTTTTTTTCATAACTGCATCACAGTAATCACTCCACCTCGGAACATACAGAGCCTTTCTCCTCTTCTTTGAAATAGCCCTTCTGCCACTATTTGCTCTGAATATGGCATTTAAGTGGCTAAAGTAGCATTTACTGTTTCCATAGGAATGAGAGTAAGGAGGTTACAAGAAAATGAAAAATCGATATTCTTCTGTCTCTCATTTTCCATTTTTTGTGGCACCTTGTTCTTCCTGTTTCCTCAAAATTACAATCATGGGTGTGTGCATATGAGTGTGTGCATGTGTGAATGAGTGGTGGTGGGTGGAGGAAAATGAGAATGAAGACGTCATTCTGCTAGTAAAAAAGGAGAGGCATGACCTTGTATAGAAGCTCAGCAATAGTCCACTTGGGATCCAAAGGTTAGCATCATCATCGTCATGACAGCAATAACCATTTATTGAATGTTTATCAGGAGAAATTATATCATTTAATCATTATTGCATGAAACATGTCATTCGTTCTCACAGAAACCTTAAAGTCCTATTATTCTCTCCATTTTACAGACAAGGAAATTGAGGCTTAGAGAGGTTAAAAAACTCGCCCAAGTATGTGCAGTTGGTTTCATAGTTCTGTAAAGGCCAGTGAGATAAATGAGGCCCAGGGCTCGTGGAACAGTCACCCAAAAACACCTCTGTTAATGTGAAATGCCATGGAAAGAAAGGAAAGACAATGACAGAACAGGAGCATTCCATTGATTTAAAAATACTCCTGTCAGGCGAGATGAAGGCAGCTATTATTCTCACGTGAGAAACAGTCCCATTTTTTCTAATACTACAAAGGAGAGACTGGAAGCATTAGGAATAGAATTGAGTCCACAGTATTTGAGAAAGGGACCTGTTTTTAAGCAGAAAATTTACATTTTAAGAATAAATGAGCACAAGTTATACAAACTGCAAGTCCCCAGTACAAATACAAATTCAAATCAAGACAGGGCGCTTAAGAGCAGCACATATACTTGAAAACCACTATGACATATCATAAAAGTAAAAATGTATCTACCCTCTTCTAATCAAATGTGCTGTTATTTTAGATAAAACTCTTTGTGGAGAGAAGGAGAATACTATAGGAAAACAATGCCTTGAATTCTTTGTAAAACAGGGAAGGGTGAAAATAAGCAAACACAAATTACTCTATTAGGACACTTCAATCCTTACTAAGTATTTCTCTCTTAAATAATCTTACTACTTCTAAAAGCCATTCGTATGTTCTCTTAGAATCTTTGTGCCACTACCTCTGACTTTTTTCCAAAGCACTGATCTTTAGCAAATGATCTTAGGCTTCTGTAACCCTCGATATTCTCCTCTCATCAACTCTCTAAACCAAACTAAAATGTACAGAAACTAATTTTTCTTGGATTTCCTTCAAGAGTTAAAATGCAACTATGGAGAATTAATTGGTTATCAGAAAAAGTAATTTGAAGTAAAAACAAATTACAATTTTTTCACCTCGTGTGAATTTTTTCAAGAATCACCGATTTATTTAATCTCTCGAAAATTTCCTAAGTAAGTAGATTCTACCTTCCCCTCTTAGGAAGAAAACCTACAAGACTACAGCGATGGCGATATTTCCACAAGAAGTTTTCATTTCACCGTATCCACAGAAAAATAAAACAGCAAAAATAATACATACCTATGATACCTCAACTGCAAAGTACTTCCCGTGAGCGATGGGATTGCATTGGTTGACCATCTGCAAGTCATTTTAGTTAAGTACCCGTCAGTTTCACATGATATATTGATATTGACATCTATTTAAAACACATTAAAATATTAATATAAAGCAAAAACAACAACAAAAATTCAATGAAAATGAATTTTCCTTACGTCTTCAATGGGACTCTAACACAGGATCCATAAGAAAAACTTATCTTGTGGAACAAAATGAAGAGAACCTTAGTCTCCTTACCAATCACATACAATTCAGCATAGCGGTGGTGGCATTCGTGCTCGTTGCAGCAGTACACAGCGTCGTAGGTGAACTTTCCTCGAGGTTTGGTGGCATTCAAATTGGGAAAAGTAACTTGGCTAACACGGTCACCCACAACACTATACTGGCTTTGAGGAATTTTCTCAGCTAAATTCATCCACCAAACAATCTTTTTCGAGGAAACAATCTCGTTTTCATTTTTATAGATGCAGTGAAAAGAAGCGTTAGACCCAACACTTGTCAGAATTTTAGGTGGGAAGTATATGACATCTGTAATGAGGAAAGAAAGGTGGGACATGAGATGAAGACAGAAAACATCACGTTAGCATGTACAACATGTAAAAGAGATTCACAGTGGGTTCAGAATTACACCGTCCGCCCACCCCACCCTCTCCCCCCCACCCCCACCGCCCAAATAAGTGTGCTAAGAGACTGCATAACTGTAATTGCCTGTTCACAGACGGTTACCTAGTGTGCCAAGCACACCTCTCCTCAAATGATTTGAGCTTCATAAATGTCTTCAGTATTTTCTAAACCTAGAGACTTCTTCATTATAAAATATGCTTTAGCGAGTAATTGTCGCTTGCTGACGGATGGGCAGAAAATTAATGAAAATGAAATAAAGTCTAATTCCACAACGTCTTCCATCAGATTCTGCTCTCATAATCAGTGAACTTTAGGGTGAGTTTTAAAATCAAATCACTATAGGACAAAATCCGGAAGAAAAAAATGGTGGTTGCCATTGTCTCATCTGGATATACAGAAACTTCAAATAAGCAGGTGAAGTAGAGAAATAAGCTTTAAATAAGAAAACTAGTAAGGAAATGTTAAATCCATGATTCACCAATATACAAAGCAGGAATAACTGTAAATATTGGTCTGTAATATCATTTTAAGTTATTTAATGGCAAGATCCTATGGTTGAGGACAAGGGGAACCAATATTTTCCTAAAATATTCTTTTTTAATGCCTATACACTATTCCATACTAGGTTTTCAGTCCCCTATTGTTGGAAACAGCTTGCTTATATTTTTAATTAGAAACAGATAAAAATAAATGTTTACAGAGGAAGAAATTATTTCTGCCATCGTGCATTACAAAAACAGTACATTTCAATCGCACAATTTAAAGTAAAGCCATTTTCTGCTGATAGAATATGGATATCTGTTTTCATACATCTCTTCTGGATTACACACAAGAACAAAAACAAAATAGCTTCATTAGTTTTTACGATGTTTTCTCTTTTCTGTAATAGCCTGCTAAACTCTAATGTCTTTATAGTCACAATCCACACAGGAAATTCGCATTTTGTATGTCTAAGGTCAAGCATAAACAGGAAAAAACTCTGCAGCACGAAATTACTGGACGGAAGCCAGTCCGCTAGGTCACAATCCTACCTCGGGTGCAGCACAGACTGCGAGACCATTGACCTGCCTTCAACACGCTCCACATCCCATTACTGAACTGCTGCCAAAACCTCAGAATAGTTTCATTGTTTAAAGAGGACAAGTGAGATTTCAAAATTTAAGCTGAAGATTTTAATTCTAAAGATAATAAAAAAACTCAAAGCATTTCTCTTCAAAATTGAATGCTTAAGTAAGGCTTAACTGAGAAATAAGACTAAAGTTGTAGTATTTTAGCATGATTAAATGCTAAAATATTAGCTTAGAAAGAAGAAAAAGTTACTAAAATCCCAATGATTAAAATTTTCATGGAACAAATGTATTGTAATTGATATGAGGTAAATGTTGAATATTTAATTTTCAAAATAATATAAATATATATTTTATCTCATTTAAGATACCACATTAGAAAAGCTGCCAAGTATGAAACGTAGAAATCGCCTAATATATTTCTCCTCTTCTTTGGCAGCAACAAGAATGCAGTTAATAAAGGTATTACAAGAATTCAGCCCTTCTAAATTGTTTTCAGGATGTACCATAACCTAACTGCAATATTCTTGGACTTCATAAGTTCTGGAAAGGTCCTGGGTTTGCCTATAAAAGTCCAAGACCTCCCCTCAGCTACAGAGAAAGAACCTAGCCACTTCATTTTAAAAGAATCCATAAGAATTCCTTGATTAGGAACAGTCAACGTTTCAGTAACTGTGCATTTGGTAGGTACAGCTTTAATTTATCAATCAGTAAAAAGCAGTAGTTATAAAGGTGCTGAAAATCAGCATTCTGTTTGCTATGGCAGCAGTACATCAGGTAACCTCTGTTAAAAAAAAATCCCAAGGGTTTGGAAATAATAAAGCAGTCGCGCTAATTCATGCTAAATAAATTAACGCCTCAACCTTACAGAATGTTTCAGTTTGATGGCTGTCATTATAGCACCTATCAGTGAACTAGCAAGGAGAACCTAATAACAGGACGTAGTTAGACTTAAGAGAAAAGGATTCAAACCCCTTTGTGCAAAGAATAGGAAGTTCCCAAATTTGGAGAAACAGACTTTGCTGTTGCACAGGGTTCGGACAACAAGGGTGGAAATCGCTGCAAAGGTAATTCAGTAAAACTAAACCGAAAAAACCTAACCAACACCAAAGCCTCATTAGCAGGACTCATGAAGGAAATGAAATGTCCCACTAAAACGCTCTACGTAATTAGGCTTACTGCTTACTAGCTTTGAGTATCAATTTTTAGCGTTGCTGGAAATCTCGCATATTTATACACTATGCACTTCATCTCCTTTCAGTGGTTACAAACACGAACTTGTGAATTAGACTGCCAGTTCTGCTCCTTTCTAATTGTATGAACTTTTACAAGTCATTTAACTGCCCTACATCTCAATTTCCTAGTATATAAAAGAGGAATGAGAGTACATACCTCATAGGGTTGTTGAAAGGATAAAATGATGATATATGGAAAGCACCTACAACAGTGTCTGAGACACAGGAGGCACCTTGTAACTGTCCTTATTATTATTATTCAGTAGGGAATGATGAGCCTAATTCCACCTTTTCTTTGTGATTCAGCACACATCATTACCTCATGACAGCAGATGACACTGTTAGAGACAAATGTTCTCGGGAGCTACTCCAGTGTGTAAGCTTTTCTCCCCACTCTTGGTGACCTAAGTCTGCTTTCTTTTAGCCAGTTTCTGTCCTTCCCTTAAAAATCACCTGTTACCACACAGTGGCATCTAAGCTGTGCAAATTTCTTAAATTAGTAAGCCTAACTTGTCTCTCATTGCTAAATCAACAGATTCTGCCCTTTGGGCAGCTGTTTACTCACTGTCTGGATTTTTTTTCACCTATTTTCAGATTTTTCTGTTTGGGATGTCTAAAGTCACTAGAGAGACAGTCATGGTGAATGAGTAAACGGCAAGCTGTTAATGGTAATATCGTTAGATAATGTATAAGCAAATAAACTTGCAAAGTTTCTTTTCAACAAAACATTTTTATTACCTTCATGTACACTAAACACTAAATATTTGCATATGGAAGAGCAAATATATGTGTGAGTGTGCTTTATATATATATTATTAAATCTGATTATTTTATATGTGAAAGCATAACAATACGATCCAACAGATTAAGAAACCAGGCAAATTCAATCCTACAGATACTGACATGAGTTAGGAAGGTAACAGAAGAGTAAAAGGTTTAGTAAAAAGTAAAATAGAACTACAAATATGTCCACCCAAAGGCCTAAAAGCTTAGGTTGAACAACCCAAAACAAAATCTTATGTGAAAGGTAACACAAATAATGATTATGTTGGATCAAAAGTTCATCTAAAATTTTTCATCTTAATCCAATTGAATATGTAACATTGCTAAGAATCATTATTCTAGAAAGGTATAAATGGATAACTCAAGTATTTTCAAACTTTAAGAGCAATGATGATTCTTTTAGAATTTTCCTCTTCTTCAGGGTAGGTTTTCAGATCTAATTAAAAAGTAAAACGGTAATGACTGAAGCCATTTTCTTGTGGAAGAGAAACATTTCACCAGATGGTTAAATGAGGGCAGCAAGCCACAGGCCACTCAGTGGGGCAGGCGCTGCTGCCTTGCACTTCCTTTATAAACTTCCCTTCTGCCGCCCACTTCAGCCCACCCCACGGGGCAGTCTTTCAAATTTGATGTTGTTAATTTATTCCTCTCTACATATTTCACAGCTAGTCCTTAAAGCCTATTAATCAATGATACATAACTGAAGATAGATTTAACTTTCCTCAGAAAATGAAAAATTCTAAAAGCTGAATTGTTTGCATCATATTATACACATTGTGATACTCAATGATTACCTGAGGAATAGAGACGAGACTGTCAGGTCTCCTAAATCTGCTCTCACAAGGTCCCTGACTTTCCCAGTGAGAATTAATGGCTCCTGCTGCTTAGCGCTCGGGTTAGCTCTTCTCACAACCTCACTTTGCTAAGCAGTTAGTTACATATCATGTCAATCTCTCACTCTCATTACATTGAGATTTTGAATCCTGAGATTGTGTATGTATAAACTATGAGAGTTCCTACCTACTATTTACTGAGCACTTTAAGGGTAAGTAAGGCACTTTATGTGCATTATTTCATTTTACCCATATAAAAACATGCCTATTTCACAGACGAGGAAATTGAGGCATAGGAAGGTTAAGAAACTTTCCAAGTAAGTGGTGGGGCCAGAACTTCTATAAACTTGGGTGAGACTCCAAATAAACCATTAACGCTCCTTACTTTTTGACTAATCAATGCTTTTTACATAGTAGGGAATCAATAAATAAACTTACTTAGTTAAACGTGTTAAATATCTGCTTAGTGTTTTACCTGGTACTTGCTATCTCCCTACGTCCACAATCAATCTGAGAGAGTCTGAGTAGGAATAATTTTGCCCATTCAACAAACCAGACAACCAGTCAAGGGACCATGAAGAGTCTTCCTACCGTCCCAACCCAGCGTGCGACAACGCTAGGACTATTCTTAGGCTCTTGAGCTCTATGTAAAACATCGCACCTCATCTTCATGAGGAAATTGGGAATAAACTGCAGTTTTTCTGATGTTAAAGATAACTTGAAAAATACGAAAACGAAAAGTGCAAACTCTCAAAAGTTAGTGTCTGGAATGAAAGAATTATCGTATTATATAATATATAATGTTCAAATAAAAGTTTAATATCTGAAATTTATGTCAAATAAACACATCTGATTTTCAAATGTAAATTAAGGGAACATCAATCCAAGTAGTGTTCTGAATTTGTGAATTTGGAACTTTTATATTAACTCTACCTTTTGAATAATTCAGCAAGATATTGCTATGGACATATGCAAACTTGGGAGCTCTTAAACAAGTTTTTGTTGACAAATTAACTTGTTCAAAGTTTAAATTAAAAGTTAATATTGTGTTCCTCCTCTCGGTTTACTGCCACAAAAGATGGTTATAAAAAGCTAAAGGCAAATTTAGGAACCATATTCCCCTCTCAGTAGAAGGTACTATTACAAAACCTACCTTGAGTGGTGAAGACAAGAGGGGTGCTCCAGTCACTCCAGACTCCTGGCCCATCCAGTCTCTTGCCCCTCACCTGAACCTCATATGAAGACCCAGGAAGCACGCTGCCCACCAGCAGAGATGTCGCTGAGACAATCTCATCAGCCTGTTAAATATTATTGGAAAATATCAGAGCATCAAGTCGACGTGGAACCTTTACCAAAACTGATCACAAGCAAATCTCAACAAATTTCAAAGAATTAAAATCACACAGAGTAGTTAGCTGCCCACAGGGGAATTAAACTGAAATCAATCATCACATAACAAACGTTTGCACACAAGTCAATAAAATTTGAAATGGCCCGTGAGTCCAAGAAAAAAATCACAATGACAATCAGCAGACATTTTTAACTGAATGACCATGAATATTGACCTTGGAGAATTTGAGAGGTACAGCTAAAGTCAGTGGAAGCTTCAAGCCAGTGCTGACATCTATAACGCACACACAGAAGGAAACGATGAACAGTGATGGACAGAGAACTACAAACGTCCCTAGAGGAAAGCATCGCAGAAGGAGGGCCTGAGTAATTTTAAGAACCTGAACCACAACTAGCTAAGAATTGCTGAGCAAAGAAATTCAGTTTCCCAATGACGTACTCCGAAGCTCCTGAACTCCCTGGCCGCTTAGCCTGGGGGCACCACAGTCTACAAACGGTGAAAGGCATTGGGAACACATGAAACACTGTCAGAGCACCTATCTCTAAATCCCATTATCTCCATCTTACAAATGAGAAAGCTGAAGCCCGGAGAAGCCTTAACTCGGCTTTTTCCATACATGAAACTAAGGATTCCCATTCTGCTCTTTATGGAAATAAAGTCTTCAAAAAATTAGCCCACATCTAAAAGGATAGGTTTTTACCTCTAAATTACATAACAATTAATTCCACGAAGTCAAGTGCGGAAGTCCTCACATGCCCCGAGTCTCTTTATGATCCCCTCCTTCTCCCCTACCATCTTGGATTCGTTCACACTCACCCCCTAGGCCGCCAGCCTCTCATCCAGCTTAGGGCTTCTGAACTGCTGCTTTCTCTATTTGGAACCCAGTTCCCCCAGATATTTACATCACCGTCTCCTTCAAACCCTCGCTCAGATGTTGCTTCTCAGTGAGATCTTCCCCCACCGCCATGTAATACTACAACCCGCCCTGTCCCACCAGCACCTCCACACTCCTCTTATCCTGTCCTACCGTCCCACTGTCTCCTGAGGCAAGCAGAACAGCTCTCGACATCTAGTAGGTGCCCAATAAATGCCTACTGAAAGAAGGAGAAAAGGGGTCTACCCACTTTACATTACAAATGCATGCACTGCACGTAAGCAAATACACTGAACCATGAAAAAACATAAAAGGATGAAATGCAAAATCAGAAACCAGGGAAGGTCTGTAGGTGAAGAAATTATAATTACGGATTCAAGTTCCTGTTCCTGGACGTCCTGTAACCATTTAGCTCTGTGTGTGTCTGTGTGTCTGTGTGTGTGTGTGTGTGAGAGAGAGAGAGAGAGAGAGAGTGAGGGGGGCAGGAGGGACAGACAGAGAGAAAGAGAGAGAGATCAATCTAATACATGTGAACTTTTTTGGCAAGAGGAACTTTTTCTGGCACTAAACTCAGGAAGGAAATTGTCATGCTCCTCAATAGACAAGATGGATCCATGCATAAGAGATATTGAGTAATACGAACAATTTTTCTAAAAGCATTTTACAGAAGATGCAGAAATGCTGTTGACATGGTCATTCCCTATGCTGACCTTCAATGGAGCCAGTGGTACAACATTAAATGATCACTGATGGCTCTTGAGGGAGCATCGCATGGGCACTGAGGGCACTTTCTACGGGACTTGGGGGGAGTCTCAATTCTACTTATGTTGCTCCCCAACTTTTCCTTTTATTTACTAAAATATACTTACTTCTCTCATATTTATCGTAGAATTCTCTGAATATTTCACTTGATATTGAAGTTGAAACGGTAAAAGTGTTGGGCTGGACCAAGAAATCTTTAAATGACCACTGTCTGTAATTTCCATATGCAAACCTAACGGTGGATCAGGCTTCACTTGAGAAACAAAGAGAACACTTTTAAGTCAAGCAATTTTTGTGATAATCATAAAATGAAGTCAAAATGAATTTTTAGCAAATCCTGTTCTTTCAACTATTTAAAAGGTGACCTTATTCAAGGGCTAACTACAGAAACAAAAGAATTGGGTCTACTCTGTGTACCTTATCATAAAACAATCCACATATCTTCATTTCCTTCTCCCCAATTGATAACAACTATACATCAGTAAATGAGGTTATTTTGATAAATGTGAATTGTCACTGTTAAAAAGTCTGCTTAAATTTATTTAACCTAGCATTTCCCAAACATATTTGAAGCCTCCCCCCACCACACCCACCACTTGTCTTAATGGGTGACAAGGAAAAAAGCATTTGCAGAACTCTATTTGGAAAATACATACAGATTTTACATGCAAAATCCAGGCAAACATGCATGCGAAATTCAGCAAATCTATTAATTTTGAAATACAACAATCCAGACACACCTACTCAAATAACCCAAAGCATGCATAATTTACAAGCAATAAACAAGCATTATGAGGCCCTGGCTTGTCACCAGAAATAGGGGTGGAGTTTCTTAGTCTAACGGGGTGTTTAACCTGGTAAATGATTCCTGAGTTCATGTGTATACGTGTGTGTTTATGCATGTATATATGCATTTGTGTATATAATATGTGAAGACGTGTCATGTATATAGTCCTAAGCATGCAACAAAACCTTTAAATAATTTATAGAAACAATGGAAAGATCTTACAATAAAGGATTGATTGAATAAATTATGGTCCAGCCCTATATAGGAAATCTATACATCAATTAAAAATCATACAGGAGGAGAACATTGAAAATACTTAATATTGTTAGTTTTAAAAGTTTATTGAACAACATCTATAATTAGAGTCCTAATTTGTTAAAATTATCAAATAAAAGGATACATATAAATATGTGTTAAAAATAGGAAAAATGCCAAAATGATAGAAAATAGATTATGCATTTTTCTTCTTTATACACCTCTATGATCACAAGATTTTTACAATTAACAGGAATTACTCATGCACATAGAAATAATCATTACACTGAAACATTTACTGATTTGAATTTTATTTTCAAGAAATAAAATAGTACATAAATATTTTTCACATTCTATATTTTCAGGAATTTAGATATAGTTTTTCTCTTTTCCTTTGTTCAAAATTAATGAAGTTTTTACTTTATGTGACATATTACAAATTTTAGTTACTTTAAAGAGGGAAATCTAAACATTAAAGGCAGAAAAGGTGAAATTCACTGAGTTTCCACGGCCAAAAAGATAAAGATACCAAACAGGAGTGAAATCATAAAATATAAACTATTGTACATTTTCTATCTGCATACAAATTCACCTTAATATTAGAAATCTAAAAATAAATTTTTCCCTGGACACCCTATGTACCCCATCCCAGACAGACCCCATCGACCTGCTTCTGCCAGAGCAGCATTCCTCAGAAGGCCTGGCATTACTCACCTTTCCACTTCGCATCCCGTTCGTTCCCCACCCTCCCTACTCCATCAGACCTTCCTCCGCCCCAGTCCACTGAAGCTGCTCTCGTCATGGTCACCACCCTTCACAAATCCAATGTCAGTTGCCTGATTCATTTCACTCCACCTCTCAGCAGCATTCCATACAGCTGCTCACTCTCAGTGGCTGAAATACTCTTCCCACTTGGCTTCCAGCCACCACAATCCTTTGCTCCTCTTTTCTCTCGGATCACCCCTCAGTCTTTCTCTCACTGAGCTCTAAATGGGTAATCTCATACAACCCCATAGACATCTATATGCCAGAGACTCCTAAATATATATTGCCCCGGTACTCTAGGCTTACACATCCACCTGCCTACTCAACATCTCCTGAGTTTCTAATAAGCATCTCAAACATAATGTGTCACACATATCTAATCCTCCCCAAATGTCCCCATCTCAGTAAATGGTACCAGCACTCATTAACATACTCAGGCCCCATCCTAAGCATTATCCTTGCTTTCTCTCTGTCCTTCACACTCCACATCCAATCCACTAGAAAGTTCAATCAGCAACATCTCCCAAACAGATCCCCAAGCTGATCATTTCTTTACTTCTCTTTACCCTAAACCAACTGGACAATCCCAACAGCCTCCTATCTGAGCCTTCTGATTCCACTCTTGCAATTACCCTTCCTCCCTTCCCCATCAATTTCCTTCACCACAGATAGAGTAGACACACACACACACACACACCCCGATCATATCTCTCTCCTGGGTCAAAAGCTTCCATTGTGATTAGTAAAATCCAGACTCTGTAACCCTGGCCCACGATTGACCTGGACCCAGATGACTCTCTGACAACACTTCCAAACATTCTCCTCCCTCATTCGCTCTGAGCTCAAGAGCCTTCTCTTTGGTTCTTCCAACTGCCAAGCTCATTCCACCTCAGGTACTTTGCGAGTGCTATTCTTCCCGCTTCAAGCACCTTTTGCTCTGGATTTTCGCATGGCTCTCTCTTCTTACACGGCTCAAATGCATCTCCTAAAAGAGGTCTTCTTTGACCTCCATTGCTGAAATAATAGCCCTGACCCTGAACACTCTCCATCACACCACCTGTCATTGCTTTCAAGGCACTTAAAATTTTTGGACATTATATGCCCAAAGATAAGGAAAGATTTTCCCCCAAACTTATCCCTGAAAAAAGACAAAATTCTTTATTAGGTTCTTATAAAATCCATCATAGCACCTTCTCTTAACTACTTTATTTTCAAAAACAATTCACTTCAATGCCGGCTTTAAATGCTTCTAAAAGTCACCTGACAGAAATGGTTTTAAAAAGAGAAGAAGGTGATATTTTACAGATTTTGCATTTTTTTCCTGTGGTAGAACTTCATGACTGAACTGCTTTGATGTCATTGTAGTTATGTTGTGGAGATTGCAGATATATTCCTAGAGGACAAATTATTTGAAAATCATAATGTCAAAATATAATGTCATGTGCAGATTCAAAAAGTGCTAACTTCCCAGTAACTTAGAAAAAGGTGACGGTGAAGATATGTGGAAAATTGTGTCAGGTGCCTTGAAAAGTGGCTCCAGTGATGTCAAAAACAATGATGAAAAGATGCACATAGAGTTTGCATATAGTGATTTCAGGAAATATAGGTGGAAAATAGTAACACTGTTAAATTATATATCATATATAATTATTCTATGTATCATATATAATACACAATTTAACACACATGCACGAAACTGAGTTAGCAAATTACACATTTTAAGATTTGCCTGTATTATTCACATTTGTAATTACATATTCAAGTTGATCAAAATTTGGGGAATCTTTGCACTAAAAATTTGCGGCACTGCCTATTATTTGAGTTTTTCTTACACTCAGATTTGTACAGTGAATTATTTACTTGTTTCCTTTTTTAGTCTGTCCCTGCTCTACAAGGCAGCAACTTTGTCTCATTCACAAATGAATGAGCTCCCAGATCAGCTCCAGGATCAGCGGCTGACACACATGAGCCTCTAAGAAATATTTATTGAAGGAATAAATTTAGGTGAAAAACAAGCTTCTAATTATTCAGAAACGGTGATCTGAGATGGGAAAAAGTGGTAACCAAACAATACATGTCTGTTAGACAGATACAGGATTTAAAGAAATCAAACTGTTTTCAAGAAGGAATTTAAAGTACAATTGCAGAGGCAGCTACACTGCTGTGAAATCATTCCAGAAGCTGCCCATAACATTCTCTAGTACTACACTTACCATCACAGCCTTGGTCAAAGCAAGATAAGCTAATGAAAAATTCTGTAAGCAATTTTTTTTTATTTATTTTATTTTTGGTGAGGAAGATTGGCCCTGAGCTAACATCTGTGGCAATCTTCCTCTATTTTGTATGTGGGATACCTCCACAGCATGGCTTGAGGAGTAGTACATAGGTTGATGCCCAGAATCCAAACCTGTGAATCCCAGGCCACTGAAGCAGAGCATGCAAACTTAACCACTACGCTACCAGGCTAGCCCCAGGCAAGCAATTTTTAACGTGTTTGTATGACTGAGGTTTAGATTCTTTTTTTTTTTTTTTAATGCACAACTTACCGACATTTATGGGCTGAACTGACATTAGAGGTGACTGAAAAGTTACTCCACCAGATTTGACTTGGAAATGCATAAGGAGAGTGTGGTCGAGTCTGGTTGCTGGCACAGGCACTCGGCATTCACAGCGCCCAGCAACACTGCAGTTACACTGAACAACCTGAAAACTGCCTTTCTGGGGAACCAGAGGCCACTCTTCCGATGCTTCAGGCCTAGATGAAAAAAGAAGGGCCAAATATTGACATAGATGTGAAAGTATTGGATATATTTAAAACATAGGACACAAAATCCAAATTGAGGTAAGCTATTCTGGACACGCAGCTTAAAAGGCATCTGGAAAAAAATACATTATATTGAGAAACGAAGATAAGCGTTGAAGTGGCTTAGCCATCAGATACAACAGAAGCAAGAAGGGGGTGAGGCACCAGGGAAGTACCAAAGGCAGAGAAGTACTGCGATCCTAAAGCCCTGAACCCAGAGAAAACATCTTTCAAACAAAGACAAAATAAAGGTTTCCTTCAGACACAGCAACACTGAGAGAATTCATCATCAGACCTGCATTGTAAAAAATGCAAAAAGAAAATGATAGCAGATGGAAGTCTGGTCCCACACAAAGAAATGAAATTTAACTAAAAGGGTAAATATTTACTGACTGTTTTCAGTAAAAACAATCACCTTGATGTAGTGTGGGGGTTATAACCAGGTAGAAGTAAAAGGGATGACATTAGCGCCGAGCCTAGGGACGCAGGAGGTAAGTAATGTGCAGTTGTCATGTTCCTATACTGCACACTAAGTAGGGTAACATCACTCAGAGGTACAGTGTCAGTTAGACTATAATAAGTTAAAGACCTGTGTTATAAACCCCAAAGCAACCATGAGAGTAATCAAATAAGAAGCTTATAGCTAAGAAACTACAATAATCAAGCCAATGGAGTATTAGCATAAAGATAGGAAAACAGATTAATGAAACAGAAGAGACCAACACCTATACGGACAACCAATTTTCTACAAAGGTATGAAAGCAGTGCTGTGGAGAAAGGGCAATCTTTTCGATAAATTGTGCTGGAACAATGGGATATCTATATGCTAAAAAAAACCCTTCATACCTCACGCCAGATACAAAAATTAATTCAAAATGGATCATCAATCCAGATGTAAAACCTAAAGCTACAAAACTTCTAGAAAAGAATATGGAAAAAATATTTGGGACCTTAGGTTGGGTAAAAATTTCTTAGATGCAACGCCAAAAGCATGATCCATAAGAGAACAAATTTATAAATTGGACTTTTATCAAGATGGTAAACTTCTGTTCTTTGAAAGACATTATGAAACATAACACAAAGACAAGCCAAAGACTGAGAGAATATATTTGCCAATCATCTACTGATAAAGGACTTGTGTCCAGAAGGCATAAAGAACTCTCAAAACTCAATAATAAACCACACAACCCAATTAAAAAGTAGGCAAAGATTTCAATAGTTACTTTGCCATGGAAGATAGAAGAATGAACATAAGCACTCGAAGAGAAGCCCAACACCGTTAGTCAATCAGGAAACGCAAATTAAGACCACAATGAGATACCACTATCCACGTACTAGAATGGCTAAAATTAAAAAGATGAATCACACCAAGTAATGACAGGGACGTGGAGGAATTGGAACTCTAATAAACTGTTGGTGGGAACGTACAATGGCACAACTTTGGAAAATGGTTTGGCAATTTCTTAAGTGGTTAAACATACACCTACCATAGGAGTTTTAAAAAAAAAACTGCAAGTGATAAATATGCTAATTAAAACTTCAGCGTGGAGAAAGTGTTGTTTTGGAAACTGCTAACTAACCTATACATGAGCATTCAGATATAAACACAGTGTGAAAGAAATGGACCCTTATCTGACTACACACACCCCGTGAGTGTGAAATCTTTTAAATTATGATAGATTTTCAAGTTTCCTGAGACAGAGTTTAGTATTACTTTAGTCCTAAAAATCCAATCAGGAAATAACAGACCTCTTAGTATGCAAAGCTGTCTGCTGGGTGCTGTGTAAGGGATAATATTTTTGTAAGAAGCACATTAAATGAACACTGAGACTAAAATCATGTTCTCTGTCTGCTTATGAGCCACAAGAGCACAGACAAGCAAGCTCATCTTTGCGAGCCTTGGTTTCCTGAATCACTAAGACGGAACCCGTCAGCACCATCAATCTTTACAAGGTTGTTGTGCGTATCAAAGGTAATTACGTGAAAGTATTTTTGAAAACTCTAAAGTGATATACACCCATAAAATATTGTTTTGAATCGAAAGCACTTTCAATTTTATCTAAATCTTTAAACAAAGCCAATGAAATGCGATTTTTAAAAAATATCACACCGTGCCTTTCATGTGTTTTTCAAATATTAAAACAAAAGCTTTTATCAAAAGCTTTTATCAATTCATGTGGAACGAACCAAATAAATTGTGGTATTTTATGTCAGAAACATGCTTGCAGGGTATTATGCTTTGCCTGAAGAACTCCCAAATTTTAAGGCAAAAATAGAACTGAAGAGAAAGTAAGACATACATTCTCCATTAATATTTTTTAAAGGATAGGAAATTCTAGTGATATTTTTCTTTTTTAAAACAAAAAGGAAAGTTAGAATTATACTCTCTTGGCCTCAATGGTCTTGCCAATGCCATCCTTTTCTAAAGACAGTGGATATTTGCAGAATAAGGCTGATTACCAATTAGATTAACTCTGTGGTTTCTCTATCACTTCACTGTTACGTATTCTATTTAGTCAATCTCATTTTCATTTTCTTTATAATTTCAATATGCACAAATAATAACATATATGGTATACACTCATAATAATGACTATATATTACATAGTATATACGCTATATCATACATATGTTATAGTAATTCATAATTTGTTTTTTTAAAAAAGCATCTCCATTCAGAAATTTCCTAAACCACCCCAACAGAGAACCCCATTATGAAGCTCTAAGAATCGATCTAAAACTAATTTTTGAATGTTCTAAGCAAGGATCAGGGAACTACAGCCCACAGGCCAAATATTCCCGTTTTTGTACAGCCTGTGAGCTAAGAAAGGTTTTTTACATTTTCAAATGGTTTTCAAAAAAGAAAAAGAGGGGCCAGCCTAGTGACATGCTGGTTAAATTCCCATGCTCCACTTTGGCAGCCCAAGGTTTGCAGGTTCAGATCCTGGGTGCAGACCTACACACAGTTCATCAAACCATGCTGTGGTGGCGTCCCACATACAAAGTAGAGGAAAATTGGCAGAGATGTTAGCTCAGCAACAATCTTCCTCACCAAAAAAAAAAGAAGAAGAAGAAGAAAAGAGGAAGAATATTCTGTGATTCACGGAAATTATATGAAACAAATTTCACTGTCCATAAACATAGTCATGCTCATTCCTTTACATATTAACTATGACTAAAAGGTTGTGACAGAGACAGTATGGCCCAGCAAAGTCTAAAATAGTCACCATCTGGCCCTTTAAGAAAAAATTTTTCAATCCAAGTTGTAGGCCAGAAACATTTGTACTCCCTACTGGTGGGTACTCGATGGGTGAAGGACGCAATAATACAGAAACCACGTTAACTATATCACCAAATTCCATCATACAGCACATTTACAATTTACATAAGACACCTTGAGGATCACTATCTAGTCCAATTTTTCAAACCACCTTCTGAGGGAACTAATACCACCTACTTTTAGGTCAGAAATGGAGGCTCAGAGAGGATGTAGACCTGGAATTCATCAGAAGCCCATGCGACCATGCTCAGTGCTCGTTTCCTTACCTCAGGATGCCTCATTGTCACAGCATAAATGTCACTGCTACCACTGCCACTTTATTTGGGAGATTAATAAAGACATTAAAGTTTGTCACTAAAAAGTGATTATAATCTGAATCATCTTAATATAATATTTCTATAAATCAGAATATTAGAGAGTTATACAATTATTCCAAATTACTTTTTCCTTGAGGAAAATACTAGATATTTCTCATATTTATGAGAGCAGAAGTTTCTCCAAGTTTGTGTGAAACTGGAATACACCAGCCTTATTCCTTGCTGGAGTCATCTTAAGAACTTCTTTTACCTTCCACAAGAGTTTAAAGAAGTTTAAGTATTTATGAACATCAAATGATATTGTAAAAATTTAATAATTTTAAAGTATAAGGATTAAAATGATAATTAAATTTTTAAAATATGAAAGAGACTCATTGGCTTAAAATAACCAAAACTTAAGAATTTCTGAAATTTTTGAAAAATTTTCACGCAGTAAAATATTTCATGCCTTGCCCACACACACACAGATTAAGTGCCACTATTTATTTAATCTCTCTATACGTCAGTAAACTTTAAATTGAAAGTGAAAATAGTAAAAAAAGAAATTGTCAAATTTCAAATTTGGCTTCTTTGCAAATTTCACCATTTGAGTGATTTTTTCTACTCAGAAGTTAGAGATATAAGTATTTAGTACTGAAATTTCATTTTGGTAGCCACAATGGTTTATATAAAGCACATTCTGTCCTCTGACCTTTGGTCAAATTATTTGTTCCAAAAAAATTTTTCTTGGAATATATTCAAACTTCACCAAGCAAAGATCTATGCGAAATTATTATGAGAATAACACCAAATGGGATAACATGATCCAAGTTCCTGATTGTGACATAAACTGAGAGCAAAACGTGTGGAGGAACCAATAAAATGGACCTGGAAAATTCAGTATTAGCTTTCTATATCATTTAATCAAGACACTTTTTAAAATCTCAGAATGGTAATCTATACAAATGTTACCCAAAAAATCTTCTTTGCCCACCCCAAATAATTTCAAAGACCAGGTCAGTGTCCCAGACCAGTCTCATCGTAAGAAACACTTGGAGCCTTATTGAAAATAGATTCTTGGACCCTCCACAGAGAAATCGGTAGGTCTGGGGCTAAGGAATCTGTTTTCAGTAAGTGTCACAGATCAGCAGTTCTCAAAGTGTGGTCCCCAAACCAGTAGCTCCACCCCAGATCTCATGACTCAGGTCCAGGTGAGAAATACTGACCAAGATAAATCTTATCAAGGAGACAAGTTGAAGAACTTTTTGTAAAACACGAAGTTTTCTTCAGATGTGAGATATTACCATATTAGTATGAACACAGGCTTATTTATATTATAAATACATATCGTGTGTGTATTGTGTGTATACATGCATACCACTAGCTCTGTAGCTGAGAAGGCCTAGAAACAACACCACACAAGGGTCAAAGAGCATCTAGCACCCAGATACTGCTTCGTAAATCCCATTCTCCATAAAGAGGAATCAGGGCTCCTTGGAGAAATGGCTCCTTCCGGTGGTATAGCAGGAAAAGTACAAAATCAACCTGAAATGTGTTGTAGTGCTTGAAAGTAAGGAAATCTTCAAAAAAGAAAATGTTGGGGACACATCAAAAAGACAGAGGGGCCAGCTTGAATAAGCTCCCATTGGCCAAATATGGGACACTCTGAGCAGTAAAATAAATAATGACAGTAACTGATTATAGCCCATGAAATAAAATAAGAATCCATGGTCCATCTTGATAGGAAGGAAGAAAGCATACTTCTCACAGAGCCCAGCACTATATCCTGTGCACATGAAATATTTCTCAATTGAGTAACACTATTCCTAAAATGGCCCAATTCACATTGAGCATTTTTGCTTATTTTTCTTCTCTAAAAATTTCAGTTGGTTCTTTTTTCTACCATCAATTTCTCTCCTCATTGTATTTACGCTTTCCTTTATATCCTCGAGCATGTGGAGCTGTCCTTTTCTGCTAATTCCACACCTCTGTCATTTCTGGAGCTGTTTCTCTTGACTGATTTTTCTCTTCTTCCTGGTTATGAGTTACATTTTCCTGCTCTTTCATATATTTTGTATTTTTAACTGGATGCCAGACATTTTTGAGTGTTAGATTGTATCATTTTGCTTTAAGGAATGTTATATTTTGTTCTGGCAGTCAGTTAAGTGACTTGGGCACAGTCTGGACCTTTCAAGCTCCTTTTAAGCTTTTTGGGGGATGCTATACGTTAACTTTGACTCTAAGGCTAATTTGACCCTATTTTTAAAGTGTGACTATTATGGGGTTTCTGCTGAATGTCACTGATATTCTATGAGGTCTCTCCAATCTGCTTGGGAAAACTTGAATAATTCCTGGCCCTGTGTGACTTCTGGGAATTCTTTAGCTTACAGCTCCTGGTAATTGTTCTCTTCCTAGAAGTTTTTCTTACTCAATATCATGGGCAGATGGGTATTCAACCGGGGAGTCAAGGGGACGCCAATGCTAATTTCTGTGCACTTCCCTGCTTGCAGTACCCTGCCCCATGAATTCAAGCCCCCTTCCGCTCCGAACTCCTATCTCTATCTCCTCGATTCAGCAACATTGCTGGGCCCTGCCTCAGTTCCTCAGCCCTGCGCCATGTCCTGGAAACTGCCTCCAGTCCAGAAAGCCTACGTAGCATAGGACTCACTATGTTTCCTTCTCTCAGGAATCACAGTTCTGGTCTGCCTTTGTCCAGTATCTGAAAATAAATGTTTCCCACATTTTATCAAGTTTTCTAACTGTTTATGCCCAAAGAGTAATCCCAGACCCTATTATTCCCCCATGGCCGGAAGCCACTTTTGTTGCATTTTTATACTGACTTCTGAAGATACAATGCATTTACACTGTTGAATACCCGGTTTTCTTTACAGGGAGTAGTGAAACAGGGTGGTGAATACTTCTCATATGCACTTCCACAAGTCCCTGTGTTTATGACATCACAGCATCTTCAAACTCTGTTGTTATGTTCTTTGTCTTGACTCTTAGCTCCAGGAGGGCAGGGCCTAATTCTGAGCTGTTTACCACTGTTCCCCACACTGCTCCTGGTGTACAGTAGGCACCTAATAAAGGAAGAAGGTTTCCTTCCTCCGTCTAAGAAAAACATCTAAAGCAGTTCCAAGATATCACGTTTCAATGGTCTCTCTCCTTCAGATTTTCTGACAAACATTAATATCTGAGCTCAAATAATGCCTTCCCTTAAGGGACATATTTATAGGGCTCTAAGTCCCTTATAAACACTAGGTTCCTTTTTAAAATATGCTTATTTACACATGGAAGCATTTGAAAGATTTCTCTTGTGAATTCTCTAATGTCCACAGAAGGCAATTTTGATTAAAAACTTTTCTGTAGTAACCACCATTATGGATTTTCTCTTCCATGGAGGTCTCATTTGTTACAGTGGCCAGCTCTTTCTCCTGATCTGAAGTCTTATTTAAATTATTTGGAGATATTCTGCCAGAGATGCACACAAAAATAGAATTCAAGGCAGAAACCCCATGTGACAATTGGTAAAATGGACATGTTAACCAAATCATACAAAGGAGAGAACAATTAACGTGGTGGGAAAAAAACCAAGAGGATGTTTCTCAAATTGCATGCTATTATGACGTTTTCCTACACTAATATTTTTAGAAGCCTAAGTTCAAAATAAAGCCAAAAGAATATGCTAAATTCATCATATGAACAAGTTGAAAATCTACTTAATTTATCATAATTTTCTCATTTTTCTGAGTCCTACCATTTAGATGAATAGACTACTTAGCTGATGAAAACAAACTTAAAATGTTCAGCTGCAGCTAAGGTACCATGCAACTTTATAATGTCTTGATACATTCATATAAATCGTTTCCAGAAAATGCAGACCTCAAGACATAACTATATCCTCTACATAATAAAATTTAAATCCTTACACATGGTCACAGAGCTTTTAACTGAGCACACTGCCCTGGCCCGTTGATAATATTTGAAATTCTCTCCAGAAGGCACCCGGTGAGTTTCTGATCACCATCCAAAGTACTGAGGTCATCGTAAGAATGTACTACTCTGCAGACGAATTCTTACCTCTGAACTAAAATCTATTTTGCTCAAAAAGCAGGAAACTTTCTGCCCCAAACCTCAAATATATCTTCACCCACCACCATGCTTCCTTCCTTCTCTCAATACTCAGACGTTGAGAGGAGCCGCCTCCATTTAAGACCAATCCTTCATCTGGGCTCTTTTTCTGGAACTCACCTTTTCAACCGCTCACTCTCTGTCATATATCTTCAGCGGGTCCCCTTCTACCATATCTTCAACTTTTCTCTCCCTGCTGGGTCATTTTCTATAGACTACAAACAAGCTCATTCTCTGCCATTCTATAAATGTCCACTCTTGGCTCCACCTTCCTCACTTTCCAACCTCAGCCAGGCTTTCTGGGCCTCTAGAGATTCATAGCTCGGTCATTTCTGTTGTGGACATTGGTCTAGGTTTCCTGGTTGCCCAGCATCTGACTGGAAAATCTACCATTTTGTGAAGCTGAAACACCGGCAGCTAGGGCACATTCTCACCAATTAGATACTCCCATTGAGGACACCGGCCCTAATGAAAACTGCACAAAGAAGCAGGGCCTCCTAGATTCATCAGTGGCAGCATCCAGTAACCAGCATTAGAGGTGTAAATGATGATCACGGGAACACAGAATGTTCAGATGTGACAGCAGTGGCATCCTATCTGTGATACATCTGTGGGGTGGCTTTAAGAATTAGTCTTGTGGACTAACATAAGTTATAAATATTAACTACAGCCTCATAATAAGTATAAAAACAAGAATGGTGGCAGCTATGGATATTTTCTTCCTTACAGTGTGCTTGCGTATGAGTGCGTGTATATATTTATATATATTACCTAATCTCTTCTCAATCTCCTCTTTGCCCTTATTATTTCACATAAGGATTCTTGGTGGTGTTAACTTTATAATTTAGTATTTGGCTTACAGACTACTCATTCACATGGGACCGTGACTGAAATGAGGAGCAATTAACATTGCCTGGAGATCAATGCTACAAATCTTGCCTAGAAACTGATACACCAACAACTGGGACATAGCATCTCTCCATTTTGGGGAGAGGGTTGGAGTATTTCCTGTTGTTTAAGGTGTAGTTGCATCTTATTAGGTGAAAGCATGAAGTTACAGGGAAGTTGTAGTTCATGTCTAGAAAGGTGTGTGTGGATGCTAAGTAGCCAACGGGGTGAATGATACTGGTGATTAAGCTCTTGTCTGTCAGCTTCAAACCCCGCCTCCTATACTCTGGTTTCCCGTGCTTGGACTGGAACTCTGCAGACCTCCAGGATTCTCACTAAATCTACCTGTCAGGGGTGCTAGAAGGAGTCTGGAAGGCTGATGGAGGAACAAGGGACTTGATCCTTCCCGCTTTGCTTCCCATTCTTGAAAGCAGCTCCCCAGCACAGGTTCTTCTCCTGGGCAGCCATAGTTGGCTCCAGGAACCAGGTTTTTATCTCCCACATTCTCAGAACCAACCACAGTATACACTCCTCAGAGTTCACACTTCTCTCAGAATACACGCCCATCCATATCGGCAATGTCCTGCTACCTGAATCAACAGGAGAAAAGAGGAAACCTAACGGAGAAGAATGTCGTGTAAAAACTGTATCTAAACTGCCTCCTAGAAACGTCCATGGATATAAAAGGAGGAGGGGTAGGACAGGCCTCGTAGCGCACTTCCGTACATGGAAGCTCTTGCATTTAAAAAAAATTGTGTTGTAGAACTATCCAAATGAATTTATTTGGTACTTACAGAACATATAAAAGATGGACCTTAAGGTCATAAGTCTTGAATGGATTCTTAAATAATGACTCCACATAACAGATGAATAATTTCAAGTCCCCTTTCATCCAGCACTGTATGTTCCAGTTTGCACCTGAATTAAAAATAAACTGCATTAAATCTGAAAAACATTCTGAACAACTCAGTGAAAGAGAAGAGCTAAATTAAATTTACCAGGGTTCGGATCCCACGTCTGTGACCGTTCTGAGAGAAACAGAACGAGCTCTAACTAGCCTGTCTGCCCAAGTCATTCAGTCCTTTTGGCCTTCAGTTTTTTGTAAAGTAAGAGAATTAAATCCAATTCTTGCCTCTCAAACTTTTTGTTTTTAATCCTGAACCACTTAAGGGACAAAAGACCCCAAAATTCACCTAGCCCAGTTCATTCTCACTCTACAAGAGAAAGGAGACATTAAATATCAAGGTACAAGCAAATCTGGAGCAGTCTTTATGCGTCTGCTTCAGCAATAAGGGCCTGCTGACCACATCTGGACTAAGGCACACGTCTTAAATTCCTGTTATTGTAATGTTACAGGCCCCAAACACAACGGATGCACACATATTTCACTGCACACTGAAAAACTCATCTGATAATGAAAGATAAACTGTTGGTGATTCGTAATTTAGAAAGCAAGAATAGCAACAACTGAAAATCATGACTAACTTAAGACAACATTAAAACTATTTCAAAGCAACATTAAGGTGTTTCCCCAAACCTGAAGGCCTTCTGGCTGGGAGGGACTTCGCAATGCTGTTGAGTCCCATGAAGCACACAGCCTAGTTGCCAGAATAATAAATGGAAATCCTCAGTAATCACCACTTAACTTCAGTTACAAAAACTTAAACTCTCTTAAAAGCAACTGGTTCTGAGCCTTTATTTAGATGGAAAATTAAAATCTACAGCATCAGAATCATTCCTTTTGATAACTGAAGAAAGCGCTACCATTTTTTGATCATTTTAAGGCTCATCACAAGGAGCCTGACTTCTTAAGTTCATTCTTAGTACATTTAATAATCACTGGAATGGCTAAATTCCTTTACAAATTTAAAAAGTACCTCATTTAAAATTAAATTAAATGGCTATAAACTCAACTGGAGACACTGGGAGTTATTACTACTAACTCGTTTTAAAATTCTGATTTTATTGCACATGCATGCCTTATCCTTATTCCTAAACTGATTTCAACGTGCTGGAGTGCTTCTTCCATCCAATCAATGGTGTGCAACCAGGGGCAATTTGGCCCTGCAGGGGACATCTGGCCAAGTCTGGAGATACGTTTTTTTGGGGTTTTTTTGTTTTTTTTTTTTTAAGATTTTATTTTTTCCTTTTTCTCCCCAAAGCCCCCCAGTACATAGTTGTATATTCTTCGTTGTGGGTCCTTCTAGTTGTAGCATGTGGGACGCTGCCTCAGCGTGGTTTGATGAGCAGTGCCATGTCCGTGCCCAGGATTCGAACCAACGAAACACTGGGCCGCCTGCAGCGGAGCGCACAGACTTAACCACTCGGCCACGGGGCCAGCCCCTGGAGATACGTTTTGATTGTCACAACAAGGGAGCAAGTGCTACTGGTATCTAGTGGGCAGAAGCCAGGGATGCTGTTAGCCATCCCACCATGCACAGAACAGGCCCCCACAACCAAAAACTATCTGGCCCAAAATGCCAATAGTGCTAAGGCTGAGAAATTCTGATTAACCCACACAAGATGCTACACTTATGTACACCTTTATTTTCACACTGTAGGTCTCCTTATTGCCCAGTCAACTGATTCTGCTCTATTTGGCTTTTCCAAAAAGCTTGGAAACAGCTTTATTGTTTCAATTTCCAGATGCAGAATTATTAATGACATTAGCTACGTTCAGTATGCATTATTCTTAACAAAAAATAACCCTTGATTTAAAATATATATTGGTTACAGAGAGATTCCCTGTTTGAACAAATGTCATTATTCATAAAGTCTTTAAAATTGAACTAATTTAACAGTATTATTAGCCATTTGGTATTTTATCTATTTAACAAAAGTAACGTGCTTTTCTTATTTTAAAGCAAATTTAGAAGACTATAAGAAATGTGTTTATAGGTAAAAAGAGTTCCCTTATTACATTTTTATTCTGTTTTTATGGGATATAAAATAATTTTGGGCTTATTCATTTGGTCACATGATAAATCCTGATTTTTATCAATAATATAAAATGATGATATGTGTTAAGAATCCCATCTATAAGACATCTATTTCATACAGGTTTCAGAGAATGAAACATTTTGTTCAATACAGTTAAACATCGAATGCTTAGGACATTCAAATACTTACCTATTTGTTGAAAAACTAAAGAATTTACTGTTGAAACAAATGCCTTCCCTTCAACGTTGTGTGCAGGTACAGAGCAGTTTTTATCTTCCTCACTCCAAAAGCAACAGTGGAAAGTTGTTTTGGATGATAAGTTAGAAAAGTAGGTACCACTGGAATTAAATCTAGCTTCAACTGCCTCATAATGTCCATTCGAATTTGAAGTGTTCTTTGAGATTCCAGCAGGCAAGAGGAAGTCATAGGTTGCATTTGGTGGCATGCAAGACAACTGAAATCTCCAGGGAGTCATTGGATATGCCAAGTTAAAGGCAGTTATCACATAAACAAATTCTGTTAGGACATTAAAAAGACACATAGAAAAGAAATTAATTATTTTGACTAAGCATAAATGGGAAGTATCTCATATTAAACCACGTAGGGCTCAATAGCAATTATTTAACCTTCTAAGTGCTCCCTCAGTGCCAGCGCACAGCTCTCTGCTTCCACCATACAATGTGTGAGATCTGAGAGGGTGCGCTTATTTATAGAGAGAGCGTCACTCTCTAGCACCGCTTTTTGGAAATTCATGCTTCATTTCCCTCATTAATCTAACATCTTATATTTATATTTTAATGAAAGAAAATTATAGCTAAATATTTCAATTTCCTTTCTTAAAAAATCATTCTTATTAATTTACGTCATAAACTGGAAATATTTGGATATGCAATTATTATACAAATATTAAAGAGCTGTTTTAATATTTCTTAAAGAGAATAACACCAAAATGTTAAAACCAATTTTACTGAGTGCTTTTAGAAAGGGTTTGTCTTCAACATCAGGGCAGCTGGATGATCTCCTGACTGCCCGTGACCCTTCAGGTATATGACACCATTTAAAGATGCCTTTAGTGCACTCTCCAAGAATGGAGGCACAATGACAGACTTCCTACAGGAAACATCCACTGCTGATTAAAGACAATGATCACTTTTTAGACATATAAAAATTATGCACAATTATATAGTCCTGTACCCCAAAAAAATCCTCAAAAGTGATACTAGTTTTTAGTAATTGTTTGAAAATAAAATAATAATTAATTCTCCATAATTCTTTCTTTTACAAGTCACCCTAACAATCCAACAGCTGTGTGCCTCATATGCAAACTAACGCAGATGAGAATTTTGTAGGGAATTGTTTGGAACGAGAATTTTGAAGGATTAGGGTAAATGTAAAAATGTAAGAAAATAGAAATTTTTAAAAGTCAATTGCAAAAGTAGTTTTAAATTACAAAAGTAATACATGTAAATATATTTAAATAATACATAAGTAAATACTGTTAACAGTTTGGTTTCTAAACCTTTCTATAAACAGAAATTAATATAAATATGTATCAAATGCAAAAATTAAGGCAAAAATGATTAACATGACTAATATTATTTTGCCCACACTGATAACAGTTAGGTCTCATGATGTCACCAAAGGGGAATCCTCATTGCATCATATTCTTTTGGACTTCAATCTTTCTAACATGTTTCTGAAATCAGAACATCTCAATGAAAAGAGAATAGGTTATTTCTTTGGTTTTACAAAACTGTGGATATGTAACGGTATTAACTAAAAGCATTCTATTTTCTAGCTGCACATGGAGGATTCAATTGTCTGAACTGAAATTAGCCTAAGATCCTCAAAGTATTTGAAATCTAAAATGTATTAATGAACGTCATAGACATAGCAACAACTGAATCTGTTTATGTGAAAAGATTCTACTTTGTTTACACGCTTCCTTAGCAAATATTTCTTTCCCTCCAAGTGAGCCCTCAACAGCAAGGAGTCCAGAATTTTCATCTGAATACGTATGTTATCATGGTAACAATATCCTGGGATCTCTTCTGATTCACAAAACTTGGTCAAACCACAAACTTTTTGGAAAGCCGATGTGAAGCATTAGAGTGGAGCCTAATAAAAATTAGATAGAGAATATAAGAGAGAAAGGGTATGTTATTCCTCTTTGATAGTCCCTTGTAGCATAGTTTTTTTGAAATCTTTAGCGGAGGAGTTATCCTGGATATTTTCTGTAAATATATAGATGGCTAAAAGGAGAAAGAACAGTATGGACCACCAGGAAGACTCGTAGAGAAGCTCACAAGAGCACCTTTAGATTGGAGTGGCCAAGGAGATGCTCAGAACTAGTTGACACACAGGTAATTGTTGCCAGATAAAATGGGTGTTGCTAAAGATAGCCTGACTTTAATTTCAAAAACTTAGAACATAACCTAAATTAGATTATTTGAGTTTAAAAACAAATCAGAATATCTCTAGAATTCCTAAGAAACTAGTGAAGATAGTACACTCACAAGTCATCAGCACTGTGTGACTAATGTCAAACTGAAACCCGCTGTGGTTCATAGAAAAAAACACAAGAAACTAAAAGAAAGTCTGTAAGCTTTCTCTTGAGGATACTCCTGCAATGGGTAGGAGGAAGACTAGCATACATTTAATTTCTGAAAGCATTCTTCTGGTGATAGTCAAGGTGGAAATTTCAAAAGTAGACACCATCACTCCTTAATAACATCCCCTCTTAAAATTATATGTCATTGTTTACAAGAGTTATAATGGGGAATAACATTAAAATGGCATTTCCCTTCCATTTGAGAATAAACCCATCGTTCTGTGTCTTAGCTGTTTATTTTAAATATTACTACCACGTAAATTGTTCCTTGATACAGAAAATTAAAATTTTGACTATCATCTGATATATACATATATATATTTGTAATTTAATAATGCTACATTTGCTAAACAAAATACTTAAATGCCATCTTGTTTCTAAGTATGTTTAAGGGTGTTACTGTGTATATATAAGTTTTCTGTACTGTGAAAGAAAACAAAGTTAAAAAGCAAATGACGGGCAAGGAGAAAAAATGTGCAAAACATAATAAATTGTTGGGGCTTGTGATGGTTAATGTTACGTGTCAACTTGACTAGGCCCACAGGTGCTCGAACATTTATTCAAACGTTATTCCAGGTGTGTCTGTGAGGCTGTTTCTGGGTGAGCCTAACGCGAATCAGTAGACTGAGCAATCAGATCACCCTCTCTGGTGTGGGTGGTTCCTCAGCCAGTCAACTGAAGACCTGAATAGAACAAAAAGGCTGAGTAACAGGGAACTTCTGTTGCTTGCCTGCCTTGAGCTGGGACATCAGTCATTTCTTTCTTTTGAATTCAAACTGAAACATGTGCTCTTCTTGGGTCTCAAATCTGCCACCATCAGCTCTCCTGGGTCTCCAGCTTGCCAGCCACAGACCTTGGCACTTCTCAGCCTCTGCAATCCCGTGAGCCAATTCTTTATAATGAATCTCATTGTAGATATACAGAAATCCTATTGGTTCTGTTTTTCTGGAGAACTCTAACTAACACAGGGCTAAATATCTGTACATTTTAGAAATTTCCAAAAATCAACTAAGACCAATAAAATTCAACAACAAAATAGTCAAAGTATATGAATTAGAAAATCATATAAGAAATACAAATGGTCAATACACAGTGCTCGACCTCACAAATAAGCAAATAAAATTGAAATGGAATGTCATATTTTGCTTATCTGACAGGGAAAAAGGTAAAAATTCTTTGGCACAAGTGTGATGGCATAGCATTCATACACTTGTGCTGCGACTGAAAATGGTACAAAGCTTTGAGGAGGAGATTTCACAGTATCTGTGAAATTCAAAAATGTGCATACTACTCAACATAGGAATTAATCCACAGAAATATTCTCCCAAATATACAAAGATATATGTACACAAATTTCAATGCAGCATTATTTGTTACAGAAAAGGAAATGTCTATCGATAGGGCATTGGTAAAATAAATTACTACTTTAAGGTGCATTCATACAGCTCATTTTTGTGCAATTATTAAATAAGCACAAGAGTAAATACTGACAAGAAAAGTCATCATAATAAATTAAACAGCTGTTAAGTGGAAAAAGAAAAACGCAGAACAATACATTTAGACCAATTCCATTTTTGCAACTATAGATATGAATGTGTGTGTGTGTGTGTGTGTGTTATGGTTCTGGAAGGATACACATCAGGTTGTTTATGGAGGTTCAGAATGGTTTTCATTTTCACACTTACACTTTTGTTCAGTTTGCATTTTTAATCAAGAGCATGAGAATTCCTAATTGGAAATGAGTAATTCTGTAGCCAGTAAAGGAAACAGCATCTCTAAGGGCAAAATCTCTACCTTATATATGGACATTTAAAAAGCAAGTAACTTACCCCAGTGTAACAAAGCCAGACAGAGTTTTTGACAAGTCATCTTACTTCAGAGAAGTATACCTGAAAAACAGTAAAGCTAAAACAAATACACAAACACACACACAAAACTGACATATATCCAAGCTGTCTGTGGAAGATATAGAAGGATTATAAACAAATCTTTAAATTTGATCCCTCTATAATACTGTGGCTCAGTATCAGAGAAATGTCTCACATTCAAGTATAAGTTATAGATTTATTCCTGTGCACATGCGATCTTACATAGTTAAAATATAAACCATATATTCACATATAGCATAATCAAAAACTTTTCCAAGTTCTTTTATGTCATGACTAACCAGGACAGGTATCACAGAAAAAGACTAAATGTTTAACTAAACAAAAATGTTCTCATAGTGATTAAACAAGTACAGCCAGTCTAACATAATTAACCTCATACTCTCAGTTCCTAAATTTCTTATTTTCTAAAGCCTTTATCTTTACTATAATACTACAAAGCCAAATGGTTATAGCATAGGGAATGACTGTATATTTATTTCCAATAAAGAGTAGGAAATTTTCCGACACACTTTTGGAAAACTACTGTTTACTTGCAGATGAGGTAATGTTCGCAGCAGAGGGCGATCAGAGTAATTCAAAGAAAGCCTGAGGGCTTAAAATATCCAAATGATAGGGATGATGACTTCAGAGGCAAGTTTTCCCATGAATTCTACTCAGTTCCAAATACATTCTGAGTAAGATTACTTGTACTCGTCTGTCACGAATTAGAAGGTAGCATAATTTTAATATATTAGGCTTAGATTTGTCATGAAACACTAAAGGCTTTTGACCTTGCAGTCTTTTTTACCATCTGAAATTGAGGATTCAGTTCACCACACAAAGTGAATCTGAGGTAGAAAGCCCTGAGTTAGGTGAAAGGAGTCTTGAGTGCCGGTCTGGGCTCTTGGACCAGTCAGCAGTAGGTCTCAGGACCTCAGGTTCCTCATCCACAAATCAGACTGATGGATGATCTCTACAACACCTTTCTGAGCTGCCTATGATTCTGAGGGATTTCATTCTAAAATAGAAATCACAGCTTTACCAAAGCATATTATAAAATGTTAAGTGAGAAACACGTCTCCTAAGTCATATCTGAGAATTGGTACCAAGTGGTGAGTAAACAGAAAAACATGTTTGTTTACTTCACAACTTAATGAATCATAGGAAGAAAATGGGTGAGGACAAACATTTTGTAGTCTGGTAAATTTGTTTGTCAGACTACCAGTTTTTCCTCAGAATTTTGGTTCTCTATACACTGACATCACAGTTTCTTTAGGATTTCTAGCAATCGATTCAGTTTGACAAGATTCCTTGTCATCTGATCATATTAAAAGTGCGCAAAGGGGCTGGCCCCGTGGCCGAGTGGTTGAGTTCGCGCGCTCCGCTGCAGGCGGCCCAGTGTTTCGTTAGTCCGAATCCCGGGCGCGGACATGACACTGCTCATCAGACCACGCTGAGGCAGCGTCCCACATGCCACAACTAGAAGGACCCACAACGAAGAACATACAACTATGTACTGGGGGGCTTTGGGGAGAAAAAGGAAAAAATAAAATCTTTCAAAAAAAAAAAGTGTGCAAATTCCTCCCAGTTTTTTATGCTACCTGTTTCTGATACAAAACTTTCTAATAAAACAAATCCAAGGGCAAGTTTCATAATCGAGATGTGTCATAGATACACCATGTCACTGGGCTAAGTGCTGCAACGGAATTGACTAGTGACTAGTAATTCAGGCCACAGTTGACTCGCTTTGAACTCAGTGGATCAACTGAGTTAAGTGACCAAATAACTCAGGTGTTTTTCCTCACATACGATAACTATTCTTTTATTCAATGTTCCATGCAAAGCACAAACTATTCTTCCGGTTTGAATTCTTATAACCAGGTTTTGCTCTTATATAACAGAGAAACAATCCCAGGTGTGAAAAGGGCATAGTTGCAGCCTTGGAGAAATGGTGAAAAGTGGTACCTTACATAGACTCAAAGAGAAAAATGTTTATACACGTGCTAAATTGTATCAGAAAGGAATAAAAGGAAGCTTACAAAAACGGAAATAATACAGAAAAAAATGACAGAAATTTTAAAACTGTGAAAAAAAGAAATCAAGCAAAGGGAAAACTAATGGTAAGGCAACCAAAATAAGTCTAACATACAAAACATCATTAAATTGAATTGACTTCCTAAGAATGAGCTATTTATTTGCCTTAAGCTTGTATATGGTCAAACTGTTCAATTATAAATTCACGGAGTCCCTAAAATAAAATGAAACCAGGAGCTTAGATGAAAATTTACAAATATTCCTAACACGAGGAACAGAAAGAAATTTTGCCTAACTTCATAAGACAACAAGCAACCTCCTCACAGGCCTCCCAACAGTATCAGTGTTTCATGGGAATTTCAAAATTCAATAATTTCTCAGCCCCTCCACTGCCAATACCTGGCTCTAAGCCACGTTATCCTCTGCCCATTAGAAAAGCCTTCTAACTGGGCCCGTTGCTGGTGCCCTTGCCCCCCAGTTCAGCCGATTCTTGAGGCAGCAGGCAGAGTGGGCTTGTTAACACGGAGCTCAGATCGTGGGTCTCTTCCCCCAAACCCTGCAGTAGTCCCCTTTCCACTCAGAGGAAAGGTACACGTCTTGCGCAAAGACACAAGGTCCTGGGTCTCTCCTGCTTCTCTGACCTCAGCAACCACTCTCCCCTTTGCTCAAGCCACCTTCTCAGAGGAGCCTTCCCTAACCAGCCTGCCGAAAAGTTCAACACCTTCCCCACCCAGGCATGCCATATCTGCTGTTCTGCTTAATTTTTTTTCTCCTTATTACTTAACACTATCTAACATGAATGTGATTTCTTATTTTTCCTGTTTATTTTCTAACTTTCCCCACTAGAAGGTAGACTCTACTAGACCAAAGGATTTTTTGACTGTTTTCTTTTCATCATTACATCCTTTACACATAGAAACCGGCCTCCCACATAGATGGTGCTCCATATACATCAACAGAATGAATGAATGGCAAGATATGACTCTTTCTTGAAATATTCTTCAAAACAGGCAGGTCAGATCACACCAAGACAAATTTAAATAAAAGCAGTCTTTAAAAGAGGCATTCTAATTTCATCAAAACACAGCTCTTTAAGAATCTGGCTAAATATCACAGAGAATTTCCGAGTAGGGATTCTTAACTATTTCTGGATCACAGACCTCATCGAGAATTTGGTGAGAGCAATATACCAACACCAGGAGGAGGCACATACACCGAAACTTCAGGCTATAATTTCAAGGGGTTGATAAATTCTCTAAAATTTATCCAAAGCTCCCAGATTAAGAATTCCTAATGCAGATAAATAAATGGAGTGCGTGATCCTGAGGCAATCTTCTGTAATTGTAGCTCCATGAATCGAGCCATTAAAAGACACCAAGCTATGAGGAGCTCGGGATAGTACTGCCTAACATTCCCCCTGGAATGTAATCTTTTTATGGTGATGGTTAAAAGGAGTAATGTGTCTTATTTAAAATATTTGGAGGGCCGGCCCCATGGCCCAGTGGTTACATTCGGTGCACTCCGCTTCCACAGCCCAGGTGTGGTTCCCAGGCATGGACCTACACCACTCATTGGCAGCCATGCTGTGGTGGCAACCCACCAACAAAACAGAGGATGGCACAGATGTTAGCTCAGGGCGAATCTTTCTCAGCAAAAAAAAATATAAATATATATATATTTAAAGAAATCTTTATAAAGAACACAAAAATTCACCATAGTCTCATCTAAATGATGCATCCATGATATCTAGGTGTGCCAGTAATAATTCAATTTTCTTAATATACCAAATGCAGTAAGCATGTTAAACATATCACTAATTCTTCACTTATTACTATAAACTTTAAACAAAAGGAAAAATCAAGATCTATAGTCTACTGAAGTATATTATCCGACTGTTTAACTTCTCATAGAGAATTCTTTGTGTTACTTTTATGTATTGAATTCTACTTAAATAGACACAGAATAGTCTCGATTAGTGTTAGAATGAGTGATCAGGCAGAAAGGAAATTATGTACAACTTGCTCCAATGATCTCAAAAAGTCCCTACATTTGTAGAAAAGTTTATGAGTAAGAAAAGCAATTCTGACGATTCTGTTGCTTTGATGAGCAAACTCAATGAGCTCCATCTGCCACTAATTTTTGCTTTTACTTTCTGCTAGAAAAGTATCCATCTATCTTTCACTTAAATAACAACATTCAAGCATTTTACTTAAATGTAATGAAAGACACTATTTCTTCAAGTGTCAAAAATGTAACAAAATAAATACAGCCTTGTCCATTTCCAGTAACCCCGTCATTTTAAGCACACTTACTTCTATTTCTTCACTTAGGACAGAAATTGGTCATGTTATTGCCATCAAGTAGCTGTTACAGACTCAAATTATTTTTAACTAAAAAAAATCTTCTTCCATCATCCTGGATAAGCTTTTGTCCCTCTGAAAACATAATTGCAAGTAATTTAATTCCTGATACTCTAATTGTATGCTTTGTTGCAAATTAATTCCTTGAAAATGCAGAGGGATAAACTATGATTTATAGACCTAGGTACCAAGTCAACACAGTTGTGTCAGAACAAGCATCTTACCTACATACAAAGTTACTTAAAATCTGTACATACATCAACCCCTTTAAATATTAACTGAATATTTGGTAAAATGTAAGTTATTAAAAAGGTGCTAGAAATATAAAAATTAAGAAGAAATCATCATTTACTTTGAGAAGTAACATAATTTTATGACTTTTTGACATATCAAAGCACTGCAATATGAATATGAATAAAGTGCCACGAGACTTCAGATTGATCCCAAAATACTGAATGCCAGAAGACAACCTAGGAAGGCCTGATGGAAAATTATTTACAGTTTAAAACTCTATCAGCAGTCCAGCAAGCATCAGAGCAAAACAAATATATTTCAATAACACAATGACTTAGAAAATTTATATCCTATGACTCTCTTTCTCAGAAGTAATTTACGAGGTAGTCTAGC